CACACACACACACACACACACTTCAGTTGTGTCATGTTGCACATCTTGCGGAGATCTCGTTTGCAACGAGTGAGGAGAAGCCCAGCGAAGGCGAGGTGGTGGCAGTCGGTCCGGGTGCCGTGCAGGACACTGCAACACGGCGCCCCATGGGTTTCGAAATTCTCTCACTCCCATGTGACTAGTGCGACCAAAACAGGCTCAAGCAGAGTAGTTAGATTCAGTTGGATGCAGTTGAAGTTACGACAGTCTCAGAGAGGTGCGAACCCACATCATCTGATACTTCACGATGGCACGTGTTCGTGGTTTTGTGCACTCCGGTCATCTCGCTTCCTCCGGTCACTCTGTGTATGTACGTATATCTATGTATGTGCATATATGTATATGTATGAATATATATATATATACACACACACACACATTAATACATACACGCGCACACACACACACACACGTTCTACAGCGTTTTGTGCCGCATCTTATCGCCAGAGTGTTGTATGTTCTATGCCACAAAGCAACGGTGATCTTTTGGGGCACTTGTTTTTCAACTGTGCCATGTTGAGGACACGACGTGTTATGGTGACTATGTTGAGGATAACCTGAATATAAATGCAAATATCGGTACCCCTCCCGGTGCCCAGGTTGTGTCCTGTTCAAGTCAGTGGCATTGTCCCTAATGTGTGTTTGTGTTGCTTGGTCGTTTCGCCTTTGGGAAAGCAAGTTGTCGTTTACTATGGCTCGCGACTCCTTTAAGTTCAAGGTCTACGATATTTTTGCTCCCGACGGTTCTCCAAATTCATAGAAATCCTGGGAAATGTTGGTAAAACCAGTTTCCATGATTTTGTCTACGGGGAATCATGGAAATTGTTGTTTTCACCCGCTTCGGCTTGCACCGGGCGTCGAAGTAGATGCGACGCGCAAGCGTGGCGGCGAGCAGAAACAGTCTGGTGCCTGGCCCCGGGTGTTCGAGCGACCTAGTCATCAGTGAATCAGACATGGAAGTTTCCGAAAATTAGGGGTACCTTATTTGGGGGTCCTTACAATAAGGATCCTACTATTTAGGGTACTATATTAGCGTCCCCTATTTTCGGAAACTCCCACATGAGCCCGGCGAACTTCGGGAGTATCATCCGCCGGTTTGAGAATCGTTCGTACTATGTGCGAGGCTAAAAGCTTGAAGCACATGGAGCGCCTCGAAACACCAAGCCCAAATTCGGTGTGCCACGCGGTGCCGTTGTTGGAATAACTGCGCTAGCCGAGTAATGTCAACATCGTTTGACCTTCAAGCGTGTTGAAAGCAATGAAAACAACACGGACGCCAGAATGATAACCTTTCCAATTCTGCCTGCCTCTCCGATAAACGCAGCCAGCTTAAGGTTGTGGGAATAACGTGATTTGAAAGGAGAGTGCGCACCTGGCCATCGTTGGAGCTGGGCAGCAGAAAGAGCAAAACGACAAAAAAGCAAGCACTTCCAACGTTAATCCTCTTGTGATATATATATATATATATACACACATCGTATATGTGCACACACACACACACCTTCCACAGTGTTTTGCGCAATATTTCATCAACAGTGTTGTCTATGTTGAAGATGATATACATACATATGCAAATAGATATCTACATTAACGTAAGTCATCGTTTCAGTTTATATGTCTATTTCTACTCCTGCTTGTATTTATTCAAATTTCTATCAATATCTATATTTACATCTGTATTTTCAATGGGTGCCTTTTCCGGTGCAAAATTTACTATGTGTTGAGTATACGGTTACATATTGCAGTATACGTCGTAGTATCACACTGCATCCATATACTTATAACACACATGGTCACTCCACCGCCCCAAAACAATGCTCCCGCATAATGTAGCTCCGCGTTTATGATACGAAATGCCAGTTTCAAAGCGTTACTTTCGTCGTTTCAATGAAGAAGATTTGTCCACGAGTTCGAACATGCAGGCGATTTCTTTCAGGTTCGTTGCAGCTAGATACATCGTATCTTCGGCGTGGTCCGTTGCCGGGGCACTGACGAGTCTCCGCTGATTGCCTGGCTGGCTGGTTGGCTGACCGACCGACCATCCGACCGACCGACCAAATTGCATGAAGATCAGGACTTAAAACGTTCAGCATGACGGGTTCTCCACGCTCAACAGCAACTTGCCGAGCCGAGCCGGTAGGAATACACAGCAACACCGTGATCCGTGAATGCTGACTCTTGATATACGGAAACTCTGCTAGTTTCGGGTATGGCAGGAAACCGGAGTGCAGGTGCCCGTCTGGGCGCAGGTGAGGATCTCAGTGTCACACTTCTGCGATCTCCGTGGTTGCGGCGTCGCATGGGTAAACCAGGTCGGCATGAAGGTGCTCCATGGCAAATACGGCGTGGAAGAGGCTCCATCGTTTGACTCGAAGCTACTCGCTTGTGTGATGCTGATGCAGGTAAAGTATAACGACGAGGATCACGTCCTTGCGCGGGGCTGAGTTTCAGAGTTGAAGTGACAGGCCCACATGACCAGGCTGGTCCCACAACACGTGGGTGGAGATTGCCAAAAAGAGCGCCTTGAAAACTTCCCCCGACCCACCCAGTCGGGCCAGGTCAGGGACGACGATGTCCTTCTCAGCTATTCGGGCGACGAGGACTCAAAAGCGGCATGCATGTCAACTTAGTCAATTGCACATGTTGTGCCAGCCCACCCTGGAGAGCATTCAGATGCCGAGGGGGAAGGCAGGGGCACAGCATGGCAGTCAGCAAAGCCGGAGGCACAGCATTTGGCACCCTGAAGGTGCTGCTGAAGCTGCTGGGCGACAAAGAAGAATCACAAGGTGGTATTCTGCTGTCAAAGGCCCTCCGCATTGAAGATAAATGGCCTCGCTGCGGTTGCCTATGCGTAGCATGACAACGATCCAGTTTGTGACTGCGGCAAAGATGTTGCCTTGTGACAGGGTGCTGCGAAGCCCGATACGACGATCGGTGAGGCGGGTACACGACCTCTAGGGACAGACTCTTGCAAGCCAAGCCGTTTAGCACCTTGCGCCGAAGATTCAATTGTGCGTTGAGCATGCTTACTCTTTGTTGTCAGACTTGCTGGTATTTATCCATGCTAGCCTCAGAGGTTGAGAAGGAAAACGCCCGTTTGAGGTCGTTGCTGTCGGTGAGGATGCTCTCGACAGCTTTGGCAAGCCCATCGCCGCGGAGCCGAGTTCAGGGCCGGCTTCGAACTTATACATGCCTATATCATTTTGGGAGCTCCTTCATATAATTATAGTATAATGGGAGCTTCTGCAGTTCGTTCCGGTTGCGGAAAGAGCGACAGGGCAGGAGGGGCGGCCAGAAGCCTCTTGTTGTCTTCAGGACCTCGCTGTCGGAGACACTGTTCGTTTCCGTTTTGGCAACGAGGCCTCTTCAAGCCTACCGCTTGCTCACAACCACCATGACAACGACTACTACGCAGTGGTAGTACTGCTTCCCTACCCTTGTCCATCTTATTCATTGCGCTCCGACTTTCCCGCTCAGAAGCGACAGGTCAAGCTCGACCTTGGGAAATCCGAGTTCCGCTCCGTGGATGTCTCCGAGTGCCCGGGCCCCTGCGACCATGACGCCCAGAGCTTTGTCCACGAATCCGAAACAAGCCGCGAAGTTACGTTTTGTTGCCGCAGGCCTGGCGAAGTGGAAGTCCTAACCATCGCCCAGTCCTGGGGCCCACGTTGAGCACCTTGCGGCGTTTAGCGCGGCTGCGTTTCCGATGTGTCGGCGGCAGGCCGCCAGGCCAATTTTGACGCCTGGCCTCATTTCTGCATGCATGCTGGCATCTACTCGGCCAGCTCATGCCTTCCCCACTTCAGAGCATCGGTGACGATGGGAAGCTGCGCTCGTCAGCGGGGAAGGTGCAGCGAGTAGGTTTTGGACGCTCCAACTGCGTGAGAGTCGAATTTTTGCAGAGTCCAAGGGAGAAGGCCCGGAGTTTTTCAGTGCTGGTTAGAAGCAAAAGTGGATTTAAAGTGCATCTCAGGGGCGGCTCAAGACTCGGGTCGTTTTGCCTTGGACACTGCTCCTCATTTCGGAGTCACTGGGGCACCTGCAGGCATGACAACGCTAAAGCTGAGACTAACCTCTTCTGCTTCAGAACCCCTTGCGATTGACGGCAAGTTTCTCTGCAGTTACAGCTTGTCATGTGCCTGGCGGACCTCGGCAGCGAGAGACCTTGCAAAGACCGCGATACACGGCTTTGGGAGCTATCACACGAGCTTTGGCCTCCCTTGAATGCTGGGCTCTGGGTTGCAACACGTCGCAAGTCCGTCTCACAGTGTCTTCAGGTTGCCGCTTGCATCCGCAGCGTCTTTCAAAGGGAAGGCTCCAATGCACGTGCCACGACTCCACAACTGGAGCTAGAGCCTCTTTGAGCCTCTTTTCAAGATGCCAGCCCGGCATGTTTGACCCCTTGACCTGCCTCCCCCTACAGGCATCTGTAACTGGCTCGGGAGGCACAAGGCACTTCTTGGGGGCCCCGAGATCTTCAAGGAAGGCGCAGGCGAAGACCGAGGCAGGGCACTCAGATGTGGAGTGGAGCGGAGCGCAGAGAGTGGTTTAAAAAGCCCTGAGCCAGGCGAATTCGCCCGGCTGCAGGCAGGAGCCGATGCTTCCGCTTGCTTCTTATGGCTCTTTGGGCCCAAGTCGTTCGCTGTTGGAGGCCTTCATCGGAGCTATAGCCATTGGCGACATGGTGAAGTCCACCCTGGGACCAAAAGGCAGAACAGGGTGGGACCGGTGGTTTTGCTTCATGCCTTGTCTCACATCCTCAGGCATGGACAAGATCCTGCAGCCTGCTGGCCAGGGACCCGGGTCCAGCCGGCAGCTCAGACTAAAGGGACGCGACATGATGCGAGGACACTGGGCTCTTGATGCATGACCTGTGCATGACAGATGCCACTGTGACCAACGATGGAGCCACGATCCTAAAGTCCGTCTGGATCGACAACCCTGCAGCCAGGAGTCAGAGCAGCAAGTTCCTACGGAACCCGATTGTCGTTTGCACCTCTGTTTTTGGCGCAGGATTTTGGTCGACATCTCCAAGACACAGGCCAGCAGCCGACCAGGGCAATGATGCATTGCAAATGCCGCTTTCATTTGCCCCCTTTTTCCAATTCCTGTTCCTGTTAGCTCTTGTGCACTCGCACTCGACAGGATCAGGAATGTGGCGATGGCACGCGCACGGCTTAAATGCCGAGAAGCTCCGGTTGCTTCGGGCGCAGAGATTTCAAGCGGAAGATTCAAGACATCTCTCGCAAAGGACATCAGTTGTGGTGCTTGCAGCTGAGATGCTGCGAAATGCCGTGCCCTGAGCCATCAACCAGAACTTGTACCGTGTTGATTATACTCACAAGTGGGCAGGGAATGGGAAGAGGTGGGGATGGGTGGCCATGATGTCGAAGAGTCGACGAGGCGCAGAATCTAGTGGAGGCGAAGATGCATCCCCAGGCCGTGGCGGTTGCCTTGCCGATTTTGCTTTGCTGAAACTGCCGGGCCTCACCCGTCGTTCGTCACAGAGCTTGATGCGATGTGCGCTTACGTCGTGAGAGGGTTGCCTTCGGTGCGCTACTTGTAGGAGGAGGAGACACGAGATTTGTGCAGGTCATCATCCGAGGCTACCGCATGGCTTTGGCAGCCGCTCGGGCCAAGTCCAGGGCTTGGCCAAACCCAGGATGCCGAAATCAAAGTAGCCACAGCGAGTCTCAGCAAAAGATGGCTGCCAGTGGTTTAGTTCAGTAGCTCAGTAGCTGTTACAGTGAATGAAGCTGTGCTGAGGGAGCATGTGGGGAAAATGTCCTGAGGCTAGAGGCACTGGCAATGGACAACGGCAGCGATCCCGTGAAATTTCGCGAGGAGCGCACGATTTCTGCAAAAAGCCGCGTCAGCTCGCAGGCCCAGGATATACTATTCTCAAGTCTTTTCGGAAACGATGCTATGTTCTCCGATCCTTTACTGTTCTACATTATGCTCCCTTTATGTTGTTGTGCATCTGCGAATTGCCTCTCTGTATCTCTATCTGCATTTTCTCTCTCTCTCTCTATCTCTATGTCTATCAACCTCTCTGTTTGAAGAAAAATCTATCCATCTCTCCATCCCTCTGTCCCTACTTTTCCCCCCCACCTCAATGTCTAGCTCGTCTGTTCAGAGCCAGGATCTCTTGAGAATAGCGAGAACCACTCTGAGCTCCAAGCTGTTCGGCGCTCGGCGTGTCGGCGTGTCCATCGATGTGGGGGTTTCCGAAAATAGGGGACCCTAATATAGTAACCTTATTAATAGGATCCCTATTATAAGGACCCCCAAATACGGTACCCTAATTTTCTGAAACTCCCATGTGATCCTTTGGGTGTCGTTTGTCAGTCTTCTGTTGCGAGGGTTGCAGTTCCAGTTTGGTGCGAATACATGGGTTGGAACATCGCACCGTTTGCTTTGGACTGTTGTGCAGCAGCCATCGACTTGGACGTCGAGGAAACTTTATCTTCGCTGGCCTTCTTGTGTCTCCTCTCTTCTCCATGACTCGTTGCGGTTGGGCGGACAGGGGCGGTGGTGGGGTCGGGGAAAGGGAGTAAGCCGACGTTCTACCTGACGTGTCTCTTTTCTTGCGTCAAGGTTGCACCATTTGCAAATGTGTCCTCCATCGGGGGGTATTTACCGTGTTTCTCTTGATTCTCATCCTTTCATGTGGGTGCCTGCTGCTGTTGATTTGTGTTGCAAGTTCCCTGCGCTCTCGAATCTGCGAAATTGGGTTCGGCTCCGGGCTGTTTTGGTGAACTTCTCGGTGCCTATGCGTTCGCTGTTGGGTCCTCGGGGGGCTTCCTGATGCTTCTGGTATGATCTGCTTGAAGCCCTGTCTGACAGTGTTATCTCTGCCTCCTGACGATGCTTTTGTTGAAAGCTGGTGCCGTCGTCTTCGACTTGAACGTTCTGGAGCTGTGCCGATTCTTCAGGCTGCAGCACGAGAAGGACCATTTTGCGACGCTGGCCGTCGATGCAGTTCTTCGTCTGGGTGGCAAGCACCGGACCGAGCGGGTGAATTAACTGGTGGTACTCGGCAAGAAGAGGGGAGACTCGCTGAGAGACTTGACTTGAGGCCAAATTTGGACTACATCCAGGCACCGATGTCCGACATGCCCTGAGCGGTTTACGCATCCGGTCCTGCGAGGTGCTGAAAAAGCCCGGGGCCTCCCTGAAGGACTCCTTCCTGGAGGAGGCAAAGGGCCCTTCGGATTCGCTCCAGCTCACAGATCTGCGACTTTACGGCTGTAGCCTCACAGGGGTTCATCCTGGAGAAGAGGATTGGTGTTGGCCGGAACCCCTGCCACGTTGTTGGAGAATCGCTGCTTGAGCCACCCGCCGTCTCAGGCCACAAGAAGCTGCTCGAAGATTGCAAGGCAGGTGTTGATCCCTGCAAAACAGCAGAATCGGGCTTCTCCAACTGATAGGTTCTGGTAGCAAACTGTCAAATGGACACGGACAAGATCAAGATCTATGGTGCCCGGGTGAAGGCAGGGCAGCCTACGAAAGAGTGAGGTCTTCAGCCCTCTCAGCCTCTCAGATCAGAAGCTCACGGGATCATAGTAGCTTGATCCAGACCCGTCCGATGGAAGACAGCGTTGAAAGGTGGACTCCCTGGAAGCCGTGGCAGAGATCGAGCAAGCCGAGAAGGCCTATAAGATCCGCAAAGCGTAAGGGCGCTGACCGACCGATCCAGGAGAAGATGAAGGCAAAGATAGAGAAGATCGCCGCACACAAGTGCAATGCAAGGGCGCCCAGCGTGTCGCCGGGCAATAGGAGTGGATTGTGGAAACTGCGGCCGAGGTCTTCATCAACCGGCAGTTGATCTACAACTATCCTGCTAGGATCTCAGCTTCTGAACCCTCGTCTTGCCTTGACGTAGCTCAAAAAACTGACCATGCACATAGCTCCGAGGATCAGTTGCTCAAGGAGTCGGGGGTCATGGCGATCGAGCATTCGGCCCATGGCCAAGGATAAGGATGTGCCGGAGATGGCAGTGAATGGGCACCAGAAAATTTATTGTTCCATTGACGCGCATGGCACTGGAAATTCGTGATGACCACATTTTTTGGAACAGCTGTCCCCCGAGGCACGCGCACACAGATGTATTATATATATATATAGCACTGTCATGTCGCTCTACCCGGTAAGTCAGACATTTCATCCGATCCTCCATCTGTCACTGCAGACGTTCAGCGTGCTGTGTCCGCAATGCTTCGCGCACAGTGCACACATCCGCTTTCCTGGTTCCCGAATTCCACAATGCAGCACTGGCATCTACACTGAAGCTACACCTTCACCTGCAGTCTTGGAGTACTGACACTCCTGCACGGTGTGGCGAATAAGTAGTCCTTAGTGCAAGAGGCGCTTGGCTGCAGCTTTTCGGTCTCCGAGGACTTCGACGGTTCCGAGCGCTTGGCCGCTGTTCTCGGAGCAGACATTGTGGCTTTCCCAGCGGCCCTAGCGGCGAGGCAAAGGTTTGGGGCCCCCACCGGATCGCTCGGAGTCCCAGGTCTCCACTTTTGATAACCCAGAGCTGACGACGCTTGGCACGTGCAAAAAGATCGAAGAGATCATGATTGGTGACGGCCCAAGTCTGTTCTGCAAGTTTCCTGAACCAGTGGGCGGGTTATACACCATTGCGTGGCAGCCTTCCATCGCCAAGGGGAAGACAAGGTCATCAAGCATGGCACCCAGACTTCGCGGCGCTCACCCACCAAAGCGAAGCGAATGAATCTGCGCAAAAGGGGAGTCGATTCAGAAGAGGTGAAAGGTTTCTGGCATGAGGCACAGCTGCAGATGCTGCAGCTCGTTTTGAATGGGCTGGACCCTGAAGAGTTGTGGCATGTTGTGGCATGTTGTGGCTACTTGAGGTTCTCTGGCTGCTCCAAAGGCGAAGCTTGCACCATCGTGTTCGGAGCTTAACCCCCCCCGAGGGCAGCCTGAAGGAGCGGCACTTGTGAATTCGTCGCTGAGGCTGCGAGGCAGCTCCACGCACGTCTTGGACGAGGCGGTTCTTTTGGGGAGCTCACGAGGCAGCCGAGGGGCCCCTGCCCCTTCACTTTCTCAGGCCGAACGCTCCCTGCACGATGCCCTGGCAGTGCTGTACCAGACAGTGCAGGAGCCTGGTGCCAAAGACTCGACGAGGAGCCGAGGGTATACTCACACGTGTGACAGGAGACACGAGTCGCCGCGGCCTTTGTTTCCAGATTCTACGTGCCATCCAGGTCTCGTTTGCTTTCCGTTGCCCCTGCAGCTGGCTGAAGCACTCGGGCTCACTCGGGCACCCTGGATCAGCTCACAAAGTATCCTTTGCAGCAGTCACTGCCTGGTGGAGAAAGGGGCACTGTCGTGAAGCGACGGGACTGGAAAAGTCCCGGCCGTGCAAAGGCGTCCTTGGCATCACCAGCTTTATGGATGGAACAGTGGCAAAGAGTGCAGCCTGGTTTGGCAGCATGTGGTTACAGCTTGCTGATGAAGCCATGGCTCTTCCTCCTTCCCACCACATGCGAGAAACATGCTACCTTACTACAGCGCATCACTTTGGACTCTCCGAGGTTTGGGGCGGCGGCTCCATGGAGATGGCGTGGGGCCCAGCAGAAAGGATAAGTCAAAGGCAGAGGGGGGTTTCAGCGTGCCACGAGGCCTAACTAAGGTCTGAGGGGCCAGAGGAGAAAACGGAGAGACCCCAACTCAGCAGCTTTAGCTCCGGCTACGGCGAGGCCATGGCGCAGGAGGTGCAGCAGAAGCTCACTGAGGCGCCTTTCTTTGGAGCTTTTTCTGTTCCCTCGGTCGGTGCTTCGTTTTCTCTTTTTCTTTTGGAGGTGGGCGGCAAGGAGAGCGCAGCCATGGAGGCTTTTGGCAAGGCCTTGACGCTCCTCGGCTGACGCTCTGCACGCGGCGCTGCGCCAGCATGCGATTCTTGAGCTCTACTGGAGTTTTTAAGGCAGATCCCAGTCATCCTCGCCGACAATGCTGGCTTGGACCCTGGGCTGTCCGCGAAGAAAGGGGGCGCCCTGAAGTTCGTGAGTGCATCAAGAGCATCAAGAAGCGAAGCTCTTGCCGGCTCGGATAAGTTCGGTTGTGAGAAAAAGACCTCAAATGCGAGGCCTGGATTCGGCGGAGCTGGCGGGGCAGCTGCGAGCAGCGCACGCCAAAGGCATCTTCGAGTCGGGGCCACCTCGGATTCGGGACGTTGGCCTTGGAGCCTGGGAGCCAGGAGAGCACTCCACCGGCTTGGAGTTCACCTTCGGTGGCGTGGCTGACATGAAGCAGCCCGGGTCCCCGGGATGTGTGCCTCGTGTCTCTTCTAGTCGCAAAGGCCGAGCCATGAACTGCCGAGAACGAGTAGCTTCAATGGATTCATTTTGATATCTTATATCTTCATATTGTTCTTTAGCTGCTCCATGTTAGCCTTCTCGTTGTCATGTCTATTACAATATTGGTTACACGGTCGCAAGTGCTACTGGCCTGGTGACGTTTACTTTCTGCCTTCATATGTCCGCTTTATCGCAGATATTATTGCACTGCTTCGTCGCATCATCAGTCTTGTTTTGGGGTTCTAGCATTTCTGGAAGGAGCACTTCGACCTGTAGTGTGGCAGTGTTGGAATCAGTGTGCAAGGCTGGGCATCATGGAGTCCTTCAGGAGCAAGATGTCGCAGCTCTGCTCTGCGGCAGAGGCCGCGAAGTGTTTTGCAGTCCTGCTGTCCTGTCTAGATAAACTGGAGAGATGCGCATATACCAACTTTCTGGACGCAGCATGTGATATACAAAGTGCTGTTGTCGAAGGTATGTGACATCTATGGTTGCTGGTACGTCGCCTGACAGGCGGCAGAGATGATCATCCGAGTGGATGACATCATCAAGACCTTCGGCGCAAAGGGGAAGGGCGAGGGGTCCTTTGCAAAACGGGTCCTCGCGGAAGCTTGCCTGCTGAGGAACGCGCCACGGCAGCGCGATGGCTGATGGGGTCGGCCGTTCGTTGCCTGAGTGCATGCCCACAGAACCATCCACATGAGGCCGAGAGCTGGAGTTTCGTTATTGTACACTACTGAAGGGTGGCAATGTCAAGGATGCAGCGACAGTCGGAAGCTAGTTGATCGGAAGCTAGTTGATCGGTGCAGCTGTCAGCGCTGGCTCTCAATGTTGCAGAAAGAGCAACTCGGGTAGCAGTGCACTAGCGACAGATGCGGTGTGGCGCGGGCTGTGGATAACAGTGTCGTGTGGGCGTGAGTGGTGCAACGCCATGCCATAGACCGTGACGAGCGAATCTGCTGAATCGGCATCTCGGCTCGAGCGCGCGTCTGTAGACATGCTGCAGCCTCTGCTCGCAGCGAGTGTGGAGAGCGCCCGCATCATCAGCATGTGGGTCTCGTCTGATCAGGCACATGGAGTCGCAGAAGTGTTAAGCTGTCCGATCCAGATAAGCGAAAAGATGAACATATATCAATATTTCCGAAAGAACATGTGATACACCAAGTGCTGCTGTCGAAAGTACATGACACGCATGGATACTGGTACATCGCCTGAAGCGGGACGGTGCAGATGATCATCCGAGTGGATGACATCATCAAGACCCCGGCACAAAACTGAAATGGCAGGGAACTTTCCCACACCAGGTCCTCGCAGAAGCCTACTGAGGAGGTTCGCGCCACGGCAGCACGATGGCTGATGGGGTCGGCCGTTCGTTGCCTGAGTGCATGCCCACAGAACCATCCACATGAGGCCGAGAACTGGAGTTTCGTTATCGCCTCAGTCCACCCGTGTGGCTTCGGAAGGGTTACCGAAAGGTAGTTGGTCGGTGCAGTTGTCAGCGCTAGCTCTCACGTTGCAGAAAGAGCAACTCGGGTCAGCGGGGCAGTGACAGATGCGATGTGGTCCGGGGCTATGGATAAAAAAATCCTAGTGAGCTTCAGTGATGCACGGCATACGACTGCGACAAGAGAGTCTGGGATCATGTGGAGGCATGTGCACACTGTCTAGAAGCAAGAGTTTGCATGGGAGCGGCCAATAATCGGTCATAAAGTTGAGGTTTGTCTGTCTTGAATTGCCAGGCTCGGGCGCTGTTGTGCAGGCCAAAGGTCAGCACGAGTGCAGTTGATGTTGGCACGTTTAGCCCTGCATGGCAGAGCTGCCAACACGAAGCCATGGCCTGAACACGTCTGCGGCCTTCATGTCAATCTTGGGCGATGACAAAGTTGTGCGCGATTCGGTACAATGGATGCAGTTGCCGGAGGTTCCTGATATCATCGGCTGGATTTTGAGCCTGAGTTGGCATGGAATCCTGTTTTCCTCACTGTTCGATTGTAGCGTGTTTGGGTTTTCTACAGTTTGCAATGGCATCTGTCCCCATTCTAGCGAGCTCGTTGAAGCATGTTGGACTTTCAGTCAGGAACTCCCCTTGTGCCTTCTCCAAGCAGAGCTGCAACTTGCAATTGCTTGTCAAGCCGCCCCGCCTGTTGCCGCACTTGTCAACAGTGGATGCAGACGAGGGCCAACATCGTTTGCGTTACTGGGTGCCCTTCCTTCTCATCGGACCGGTGTTGATGGGCATTCTTTGCGAAGTATTCAGATGGGTTGCTGTTTACATTAAGTGGACACGCCCTCAGTCTGCTGCATGGCTCCCGTTGTGTCAGGACGCAGAGGTGTCGAGGTCATCTCGCGCCGTGTCCCGCATCTCCTCCCGTGCGACATCCGGTGAGATGTTGTCGCCTGAGCCGGTGGGGCCATGTACCGATCCACCATTCCGCTTCACTATCATGCTCTTCATGTACCATGCTTTCTGTGCGGCGCTTGTGGCATTGGCGATGGGCAGTGGATGGGTCGTTATCAAAGGGGGAGGAAGCTTTGCGTGGGAGTTGTGGGCCATTTGGCAGCACGTGTGCTTGTGCGGGCTATTCATACAAAACGTTTTGCGCAGCTATCGTATGGAAGCAACCGATTTAGCGGCTTCGTCAACCTTCGTGACAGTATTGCTGTACACGCTCCCTCTTTTCAGTGAGCTGGCGGACACGATGAAAGACTGGATCGTAACTGGCATTTGTTTGATGGCAGCTCCGTCTGGCGAAGGTTTCGCCACTGGGTGCGTGTATATCATAGCAGATTTGCTGTTGCGGTGGTGTCTGCGTGCGCCGAATATGTTCCCATTCCGCTTGGGGGGATACTCTCTCTGGCCTCCACTGACGATGCTTTTGATTTCTGCAGGCTTTGCATGTACAATCAGCTTGATGGTGTGGGTTCTGTGGCCTTGTGGCATTTGGCCGAGCAGACAGTGTCCGCGTGCCTCCAGCAGTGAAATTCCTGCTGCTCCCGCACAGCTTTTGCGGCTTATGTCTGACGGCGGTTGTTTGTTCTTGCTTTCTGGGTACGTCATCATCCTCTCCTATGTGAAAGTGTCCGAAAATTAAGAAGCTGCACGCGATTTGCGGCGAGTGTACCGGGGCATCCTGTCAATACAGCACAAGCAAAGCAAGCATCATAGCGAAGAGTCAGCCGATGAGGAGGAAACAGACGACGGCAAAGCACCGCTTCGAGGTGTTTGTGACGCATGCCGGAAGCTGCTAGTGCCTCTGCGTGAGAGTTGCCATGATCAGCTAGAGAAAAAGCTAGCTGACTTTGTGAGTGGTGCAAAGCTGCTCATTGCGTGGACAGAAGATTTGCCACAGGGATTGATCGGCCTGGCGCTCACTCTGAGGCATCGGGACAAAGTAGGCTCAGTTGGATTTGCGGCAGTTTCAGCCGTTGTCAGCTTCCTCAAAGGAGTTCTCATACCCGTTGGCAAAGGAAGATCTTGGCAAGGAAGAAGGCCCAGCTTAGTGCTATCCAGATGAAACAGACCAAGGAGCTATTCGAGTTATTGTGCACGAAGTCCCCTTCCGGGTCGTTGAGCGAAAAGGATGTCGGGAGTGGTCTCCCAGATGCTTTGCAGAAGCACACAGAACTGGCGTACGAGACGATGAAACTTGAGGAAGACGTTGCAAGAAGGGCGTCTCTGTTCGCTCCCATCTACGACTATTTCGACAGTTTGAAACACGAGGTGTTGAACAATTGCGAGACCTCCGAGACTTTATGAACGTATGTGGTGAGGTCGTCTCTTTGCAGAGGCAGACAAAGATGGCAAGCGTGCGTGACTTGCGTGCGCAAGGGTTTCCGTACAGAGCATGCAAGCTGGCAGGCTATACATTGAAAGACTTCCGTGAATCAGACGCATTGAATCTCCCCGCGTGCCAACAGGCTGGCATCACTGCAGATGAGCTCATGGATGCCGGCTATAGTCGCGGTCCGCTTCTGCTTCAAACATTTCAGTGCTCTTACAAAGATCTTGTTTCGCAGCTCAAGTTCAACCCGAAGCATTTCTGCAAGGCCAGAGTCCCGCTTCAGGATTGCCGCGATGCTGCAGGGGAATCAGGGAGGGCCTTTCGGGAAGCTGGATACACTGCTGCAGACTTTCGTGGAGCGGGCTTCTTGGCCGGCGACTGCAGAACAGCGGGCTTTGATGGGTTGGAGGTTCTTGAGGCTGGTTACACTAAGTTGGAGTTTGAAGATGCTGGATACACCAAGAAGCAGTTCAACAAGGCCGTTCGGGCCTTTCTGGAAGCTGGATACACTGCTGAAATTCGCGGAGCGGGCTTTTTGGCCAGCGACTTCAAAACAGCGGGCCTTGATGTGTTGGACTGCCTTAAGGCTGGTTACACTAAGTTGGAGTGTGAAGATGCTGGTTACAAGCAGTCGCAGTTCAACGTTCGGGCCTTTCGGGAAGCTGGACACACTGCTGCAGACTTTCGTGGAGCGGGCTTGTTGGCCGCCGACTGCAGAACAGCGGGCTTTGATGGGTTGGAGGTTCTTGAGGCTGGTTACACACGGAAGCAGTGCAAGAAAGCCGGATACGACGATAAAGATCTCCGCGACCCAGATTCAGACGCGGAAACTGGACCAGATTCAGACGCGGAAACTGGAATGTGTTCTCTGATTCGGATGCGAATGTGACAATGCCCCTAGGCAGGGCCCTGCCACACGGCGAAGCTCAGCAAGAAGTAGTCCCAATTACAGTCGCGATTGCATTGCAAGACTGACGTTACCTTGCCGAGCTTCAAGGCGACTGCGAGAGAATTTCAGCGAAGTGACAAAATCCTTCTGAGCCAGCATGAGTCAGCCAACCCTTGACAGCAGAGACTGGAGAAAGTCGAACACGCCAGCATTCTGCATGTCGCAGCTGCTTCAGGGACAATGCTCGATAAGAGTCGTTTGTAAGAAATTCCAATTTGGATTTGACCCGCTCAAACGATAAGTGCCATGCACCGTTGATGTATGCGAGTGATTCTAAGAGACTTTTGCTGATGCGAGTGTCGAACCCATGACGGTTTTGACGGATGAGCCGAACTGTCAGCAGGACTGGCCGCAGGGACACGCAGCAAAGGGATGTCTATGCTCCAAGCCTGCTTGAATGCTTCAGGACCCCGAGAGTGTGTTCTATGTGCATGCAGGTGCCTTGCTGCCTTGCCCACATGTGTTTTGGGCTCCGGTTAAGTCTAAACATGTGGAGGCAATGGCTGGGGATCCTTCCCAGAGGTCGCCCACTGAGACTTGGTAGCCGTTCGCCGGGGAAGCTCGTGCTTGTGAGGCCGTTGCCATGGGTCCCGAGCGGAAGGGTTACACAGGCGCCGCACCAAAGACGGAGTCTCAGTCCCGGGCTGATCCCTGGCTCTCTGATTGTGATTGTTGCTTTGTGCTCAGGATTTACGTGGGCTCCTTCGAAAGCATCGAGCAGAAGGCGCAAGTTGAGTGTTGTTGCGTAGCTATGGCAACTCCACAGAGCGAAAGCTTGATTCGAAGGATGGCGATCGGAACTTCCGATTGCGGAGCCGCGGCTCCGACCCCGCTTGGGTTCGGGTGGAGGTCAGCGGCCTCGGCGAGTCTCCGAAGCTCTGAAGAGGCGAGACCTGCTTCCGAGGTGGCCAAGGAGTTTCTGCTTGGAGACCCCTTGGTTCTGGGACACTTCGAGCAGTGCTGGGGAGCTCTGATCAGGACTGAGCTCCATCTTGCTCTAAGTACGGCGGAACAATGCTCTCTCTCTCTCTCTCGCTCTCTCTCTCTCTCTCCCTCCTTTTCCCAACTTAGCATGCGACGCTCTTGTTTGGAAGTCTAGAGAGATGGCTTCGCCAGCACCCCACATGAACACCCGCAAACTGCCCTCAGCCCAGTGTCAGTCGGAAGCCTTTGAGAAGGACCGGCGAGAGGCCGCCGCAGCGCGCCCCGAGATTTGGAAGCCCGTGGCCTTGCGAGGAAGAGGCCTGCTTGGGGTGTCTTCGGTGTGTCTTTGGTTCGGGGATTTTGGGACGCTGGGAGTCACTTTGGGGCAGGTGTTCGAATGCATGCCGCATCTACAGTTCTGAACGCTCTGCCACAGAATGGGAAGTGGTGTGGTAGGATGGATTCTGTGATGCTCGAACACCCGAAGATGGCCCTAAACATATTATTGGGGAAGACATATTTTTCCCCAATAATATGTTTAGTGCCTTTTGGGAGGTGAGCCCTCGACAGTGGCTCGAGAGAGCTGGCTTTGCCGTGGGGGCCTCGAAGTTTAGCAGCCCGCCGGTCTGGGATTTTCTGTTTTTTGGTGGCTCTGAACTGCAAGGCCACGGGGCGCCATAGATTTGCGGATGTTGCAGCAGGGTTCTGCCATCTCAGGTGTTCTTGAGGGCCATCGGGGCAGCCGAACGGGGAGTGGCCCTGCCTGGAACACCGGAGGCTATTCGGTCAAACAGTGACTTCCAGCATAGCAGGCTGAACCGATCCAGCTCAAGAGATAGCCCTTGGCATTCAGGAATTGCGGCGGCGCTGTGGGGTAGTGGCGGTGGAGGCCCAGCCGTGCTGTCGGCCATGTTGAGCTAGGGGTAGCGGGTAGCGACAATCTGCATGGACGAATCTTGGAGGATGATGGCTTCTGCGGCTTTTGGCCTCGGCCTCATCAGGTGGTGCTTGTGCTTGTCGCCTAATTTAGGCGTTGTGCCTGTTTTGTGGCTCACCTTCTCGGTGAGTTCATGCTCTTAGTTGGGTTCAGGCTGAAGTTCAACGTCGTCGTCTGTTTTGTGGTTTCTCAGGTGCTTGGCCTACCTCCTAGGCACAGACCTACCCCGGGCTCTTCAAAGAGCCAGGAGCTTAGACGAAGTCATCAAAGCTGAGAGCGCTCTCTCTCTCTCTCTCTCTCTGTGCTCAAATAACCCTATACTATTGCATGCTATAACATGCTGCAATATACGGAAAATGCTATAACATACCACGAGTATACTCTAAACTACAAAGCCCTTAAACCCCCAAAACTCCTGAAACTGCGAGGTTTTGGAGGAGCTAGAGCCGCTCCGTTTGGCGGCCGGCCAGGCGCGGGCCGCTGGCGAGCGCCCGGGTGCTGAGGAGCGGAGCTGAGGAGATGAGGTTCTGCTGTAGAGTCTTATAAAAAATAAATAGATAAATAAATAAACAAACAAATATATATATATATATATATATATATATATATATGTATACACAGAAATGTAGTATCTTGTATATTATAGTATGTTCTAGTATATTATAGTATATTAACTATGGTATAGTATAAAATAGTACAATATAGTATAATATGGTATAACCTAGTAGAGAGGAAACGATCTTGCGCAGCCCTACAGTGCTTCTCTGGAGGATCGGATCTGGGAAAGATTGTGGAACATCGCAGACATCAAGCTGCGGTGCCTCAGGCGCCGCATCTGAGTGCTAAGGCCGCCTGCCAAAACGTCCTGTCGTGCAGGAACGGCATCCGCGGATCTCACCTGGATCTGGTCTCCAATGAGCTTGGGGCGCGAGGGATCCAGGTGCGCAAGCCTTGCCGCAGCGTTGCAACCTCGATGCCTGTACCTGCACGCCGCTTAAAAAAGGACACCAACTGCTTCCTCACGCACTCCGAACTGTCCCTCCTGTGCACGAAGCTTTGCCGGCGCTGGACGCCTGTCGTGGAGGCCAGGATGCACTCCGAGCCCGCATCTTGCCATTTTGGACCGTGGGGGCGGCCAGGTCACGCCGGACTTCCACGCCTCGGAGGAGACGGGAGCCGGGAGCTGAAGCCGAAGTTGCGAGGAGGATGTCTGGCAAGCGCAAGCGCTAGCGCTGCGCGCCGAGGACCACACCATGCTCGCGCTGGCCGCAGCAGGGCTCCCCGCCGTCGATCAGGTCAACGTGGATGTTTCCGATGCCTCCTGCCCGAACTAGATATCAGAGAGCAATCCGATTCGAAGATCCATTGTCGCCACCGGCCAAGATGGACGCTCTCCGCGATGCGGGCCGTCGGCTGCATGAGCCCGGGGCTCGAAACGGAAACTCGTGGTGGAGATGACGGGTGGTTGTGTTCTAGACGGGTGCTCCCTTCGAAGCTGTCGTCGAACTTGTAGTTTAGTGCGGTCTGCGCTTCTAAGGGGGACCATGATGTAAAACAAAGTAACTGTAGACAAGAAACAGCGCTCTGAATGGGGTGATTGCGCAAGGCAAGGCTTCCGCTTGATCACTGCGGCTGGAATCCCAGCGGTGTGGGGGTTTGGGACAGCTAGACTCTTGTTGAGCAGGCTCTGTCCGGAGACTTTCAAGAGTTCTTGCTCGTGGGATCCCCAACGACGCCGTCTCGAAGCCAGGAACCCGTGGCCGAGGGCCGGCCCGACGACCGGCCACGGCCCTCCTTTGATGAGCTGCGACAAATGCGGCCCCTCATCATCCACCTGGGCCCGGAGCCCCGGGAACCCGGAAACTTCGAGAGAAAGGCCTTGCAAGGGCTTCAGCCTGCTCATGAGGCACACACTACTTCCTCCTCGACTCGGTAGATGAGCTGCCAGAGTCCTTGAGCCTCGAGGAGGCTGATGGATGCTCCATGTTCCACGAGTCAAGCTCCGCAGAAAACACACATGAGCCGGCTGGGAACGGTTGGCCCACAGGGCTTGGCCAAGAACGAAGGAAGCAACCGCAGGACGCGAACTTTTCCATGGCAAAGCAATCTTCAAGTTTCAAGGTCGGATATCATATAGCACAAACCCAACAGCGTATCTATCATCTCCACCTAACTTTGGAATAGTGTGGTGGTTTTTCGAGTAGAAGCCCGCGCGCTGAGGTGGTCTCCCCTGGATCCTGGATCCAGGTAGAGCTTGAGTAGCTTGTTAAGAGCGCTGGGGGAGGCCAGGAAGGACAAACCTCACAGTCCACAAAGGCAAGGCAACGCGCGCCGAATGACAACGACGCTGCGCACAACACTTCACGGAGCAAAAGTTCGGCCGCGGCACTTCGAAAGTGCGAATCATGGAAGCGGCGTCTCATGGCTTGGGACGTGGGAGGCGATCCGTGCTCGGGTGCAGGACTTGCAGGTCTTATGCAGTGGCAGTCGTTAAATGCAGCAAAAGGGGAAGCATATGTAAGACTGATGCTTTCAGACATGTGGCGGCCGAAGCTTGCACTGGAAAGTCTGCATAAGCGGGGGCAGTGTATCCATGCCAGGGGAGCATGGCATCCTCCAGAGGCAGGGGGGCGGGCATAGCTCAGACTCCGAGAGCTCTTGGGAGTTTAGTTGCGTGTCTCGGCTCGGAGAAGCGACAGCGAGGCTTCCTTGACAAGTGCGGCCGGTGCTTCTTCCGCTGTTTCGATCGCTGGTCGAGTCGGTCCTTCTCGAGTGAGGCAGGAGCTTCTGTGGTATATAGAGAGAGGTGTGTGTGTGTATATGTATGTATGTATGTATGATGATGCGTGCATGGATGGATGGATGGATGGATGGATGGATGTATGTATGTATGTATGTATGTACGGTATGACATGGCATACCATGACTTGGCATGGCATGCATGTATGCCAGCGTATACACCAAAACCAGGAAAGAATACGTGGCAGACCAAGCCGTGCATATGGGTTCACATGGCGGGAGCACGTTTTGAGAAGGCGGAAGCGCGAGTCACGGACAAACTTTGTGAGAGAATTCAAGACCGGGACTGGAGGGAGCACGACTTCCACCCCGAATTTCAAACCCAGAGCATCCCGAAACATGTACGGCAGTCTTGGATGTGGGAAGGAAGCAATGTCTCATCACATCGGGAGAGGTGGAACCGGTGGCCGCTCCGAAACAGGATCCTTTACACTTCTACCGCAAGAACCCTATACGTTGCCACACCATGCAGTGAGCATATTGGGTATAGGTGTAGTAGTTCTTCGTATATGTACATGAGGGCATGCTGCTAGGCTAACTTGCAGGCGCGGGCACCCCTGCGGCAACAGTGAGATCGGCTACTCGCGCAATCCATCTCCCGACCCTGCCTCGGCTCCAGTCGTTGTGCAAAGAGCTCAGATCGAAATAGCGGAGCTGCGGCTCGCCTCATTGCTATCTGCGCCCTCTTGCATTAAGGTGCAGAGCACGTGCACCTTCTTTCAGCTAGGCCCGGAATGGGCTGAGGCATCCTTCGTTGCAGAACAGGATATCCACCGTTTCACAAAGTTGACAGCTCCCTGCCACAAAGTCAGCACATGCTCTGCTTGATGAGCATGCAGGGCAGGTTGAAGAACAGACCCCGCACGCCAAACGCGCTGCATAAGTGCAAAGTGTTCAGCGCGGTTTGAAAAATGCGTCCAAGCTTGTGTGGGTGCGCTTGTCAGGATGCTTTGCCGAGCCATGGTCAGACCCTGCTCTCATCATAGACCTCACCTGGCCGGAAGGAGCCACTTTGGAGTTGTTCGGAGCATAACACGAGCCTCGGCAGAGAAGCGATGCGTAGCACTCAGCCACCGCGCCAGCTGCGGTTCAGCAATGCTTAGCCAGTTGAGATCCCACCTACTTCAGCCCACACTCAGAGTCCAACCGGCGAAAGCACCGGAGACAGTTTACGAAACCATTTCCAGTGGCAGTGCTAAAAGCATACGCGGGTCATGGCAGCTGGCAGCAGATGGATCTCCCCTCAGAGAGAGAGAAGCCGTCTCCGTGACTGGAAGAACCCCTTTGTTGGGAGCTAGGATTAGGGGGACCCTTGGGGATATAGACCCTCTCAATAAGGCTAAGGCCCCTTTTAAGAGAGCCAACAGTAGGGTTCAGAAGGGGTACCCTTTAAGGTGTACCCCGAATTCGACTATCTGTGTCCCGAGGCAAAGACCTCTTCTCTAGGCCGGGGCTGCCTGGCTGCCTGGCCGGCGCTTCTTCGGATTCCCAAACGATCCGTCTGAAGGCACCCGCCAGCGAAAGCCTCGGCGAGGTGCAGTCGAAGGTTGGGACACTTAAAGGCTTTCCCAGCTGAGTCTTGATAGTCTTGCTTCCAGGCGGGGGGGATGCACCGGGGACCTGCAGCTTGTGCCGAAAGCACGTGTGCCTTTTCTGCAGAAGCTCCGAAGTGGGAGAGGGATGGGACAGATTCAAAGCAGTCAAGGTGCTGGCTCGCGTCGCTGGGTGCAGTATGCATGTGGCCCGAAGCCCAGATGCCGCGGCGACGACCACTCTCACAATTCACGGCAATTCACGGCAAATTTTGAGGTCCATACTTGTCTTTTCAATCTGGCGGGAGTTGCAGGTCCCGGCAATCTAAAACATCTCACTCCTTGCTCCGTCCTTCGCGCCGTTTAGTTTGGAGGACGGACCAAAGATGTCCGCGGAGGGTCTCCAGCCGAGTGCCTGACCCTCGGAAGCTTCAAAAGCGTGAGCCCGCCCAGCTCAGAGTTCAGAGCTCAGACAGCTCAGGTTGTCGGAACGTTACAAAGCAGGGTCATTACCTTGGAAAGAGAACTGTCGCGAGCAAAGGAGGTGTGGGATGCGGAGACTTCATTGATGTTGAGCTCAGCTGTCTTGCACGCAATGGGACAGGAAATTGCTGAGAGGGACAGGATGTTGGCCGTTGCCCAAATGAACACGCAGCTGCATCCAGATCGACGAGGGTGTTTGCTCGCTCCCCCGCTTGAGGTGGACTTGCAGCACAGGGCTCGTGATGATGCGCGTGGTGATCGCTTGGCTCCGGCGCTAGCACCCACACCATCTCCACCTCCGATGTCACCTGCCGAGTCTTGTCCCAAGTGCTGGCAGGGCACTGATCGCACTTCCATGGTCTGCCCTGCGACTTCTGAGGTTTGCGAAGCTGGCAGGCGCCTCCGGAGTGGCAGAGCCTGGTGCCCACCGTGATGCTGAGTGCCGGCCTGCTCCGATGTCCTCTTGAGGCCCTGGCCCTCGCCGCAGCTGCGCGGCACGGCAAAGGCATCTGCGACCTCTGCGACCTGCGACTTCCAGCAGGATGTGGACTACTTCCTCTTGGCAGGTGCCGCGTGACTGCACTTTCGCAGCTTCAGAGCCACTGGGGCCACTGTCGCAGGACGAGGGAAGGAGGAGATGGTCAAGGCTAGCTCGAACAAGGCCCATTTTCCTGCCTCCTGCCTCTTCCACCTTGGCGAGACAACGGTCAAACTCCAGGCGGAATGCTGCCAAATCTGCATTGACAAGAATCGTCAAACGCCGGTCCCGCCGGCCAAACTTCGGTAGTAGTCGCTGTTATCGCAATCGAGTCGTCTCCCTCCCAGCACTTCCCAGGGCGCCTGCACGGTGGCCGTCCTGAGCTCCTCCTCGGACTCCCCACCTTCGGGATGCTGGATCAAGGCGAGGCGGCGAGGCCAAAAGAGGAAGAGGAGAGGCTGCTCCGCGGTCTGCGCCCCGCAGGGTGCCGGCTCCATGAAGATCCTGGCGGCCTTGAAGCCCAACTTGAAGCCCGGGGCCGGTGCCCAAAGGAGCGTCGGAAAGCGTTCGAGTCGTGTCTCTTCGTGGGCCGCGCCTGGTGCGTGCTCGAGGTCATGGCTTGTTTTCCACCTGGGCACGGCGAGATGCCCACGGTGCCCACGGCACCACCCGTGGCCTGAAGCCAAGCCCGGCGAGCGCGAGGTGGCCTTTCGGATCTGCTGGAGCCCAGGACAGCACGGCAGTTGCGGAGCACGAGAAAGGCCCGGGATGTGGCCCAGGCTTTTGGTAAGATCTGCCAAAGCAGAAGAGCTCCGTCTTCTCGCAGGTCTAACTCTCCTGATCTCTTCGGCCCGGGCCCTCGATTTTTATTGTTAGTCCCTGCGGACTCGGAGTTTGCCCAGGTAACAACCCAGGACATGCGGGCCAATGCAGTGCGAGATTCGTTCAAGCCTCGCAAAGAGGCAGCGCTTCCGCATGCCGATGCCTCGTAGAGAAACTCAGGATTCGCCACGCCTGGTCATGTTACAAGACTTTTGCCTGGGGCAACGATGAGCTGCTGCCCATAGCTGGCAAGTCTGGTTCTCATCTCGCTTGTGTGACTCTGAGCTGAATGATGACGCGAACCGTGCAGGGGTCGAAACCGTGGCTTCAACCTGGCTGTGACGATGGTGGACTCTCTTGATACGTGCGTGCCCTCAGCCTCCCTAAAGGCTCATCCAAGTTTGCGAACGCATTTCGCCGCTTTCGCACTTACAGGCTCTGGCTCGCCGGCCTCAAGGAGGAGTTCAACGATGCAAAGGACTGGCTCGCCCTGGGCTTGGACGGGGGGCAATGTCGAAGTTGAGCTTGCAGCCTTGCAGCGACTTGCAGGTAGCCCACTTTCACAACAAGATCAACGCAGTCGGCCAGAGCCGAAGCGCCCCCCCTCCCAAGGCCGGCTGCAAGGCTCTGGTCAACACCGCTCAGGCAAGACTGTCTCGGTTTTCGAGACCACCATCCGAGTGCTTGTGTCCGAGATGACCAGAAGCTCTCTCCCGCTTTGATCGAGTGCCTCTGAGGTTGGGTGGCCTGCTGTCGGCGTATGACCTTTCCAAGGCCGGAGAGGGCCGAGAGGGTCGCGGATCGCCCGGCTTCTCGGCTTTCAAGGAGAGCGCTTTCCTGGATCTGGCAGTGAAAATGGGCCAAAGCCTCAAGCAGAGCAACCTTCCGAAAGTGGCGCGGGCGCGGCGCTGGATTTCGTTGCGCTAAGGGCAGAAGATCCTGGCCGTGGTGACCGCCAGAGGAGCTCCCCTTTTTCCACAGGCTTCGGAGATCGCAGGCCTGCTGCGTTGCAAGGCGTCACTCCCTACACCTTCGCCGGCGGACGTGGAGGCCAGGTCAAAAAAGGTTCCCACCTCGGTTTTCCGCTCACAAGATTTCCCGCAGGCAGCGGTTGCCCAAGCCTGGCAGAGTCGGGAACGCTTCAGCCTGGCCCTCGGAAGATGCAAGAGACTTCCTCGTCACGCTGGCACTCGGGACGGAGGCTGGAGATGCGGTACTTATCCCACATGACCGGGGACCAGACCTTCGCGGCCAAGACCATGAAGTTCTACGCCTCAGCCTCAGTTTTACTCCCGCCGTCAACACGGCAGCACGAGAGAGCCTGAGTTCAGCTCCAGGAGACGGTGCGAGGCTACAAGAGCTTAGACGGGCCATGGCCTCAAGAAAAGCAAGTTGAGAGCCAAGGAGTCGGAGCATTAGATCCAAGATTCGAAGTTCCAAGGCTCTGGCCCAACTGCTTCGAGCGAGGCAGAGGAAAGATCACCTTTGGCAGCTCGGAGTGGAAGTGGTTCCGGGTTTGCGAATTAGTGAAGGGCTTGAAGAGACAACGGAGGTGCAGATGGCGACTCTTTCTACGAGTACCTGTTGAAGGTTTCTCTTGTCTTTGGCCCGTGCTCTTCGTGCTGATTTTCAAGGTTGCGAAGCTTTGTGCCAGGTTTGGATACAGGGCGGAAAGCGCCAGGAGGAAGACTACCTGAAAGGCCGGCTTTTTTGGTGCTCCTTTCTCTCTGAACTGTGGCAAGCTTGGGCTCAGGAATGTACGACAAGGCCGTCGAAGGTATGGAGAAGCACTTGGTCCGAAAGGGCGCCGCTTCTCACCTGAATGTGCCATACGGTAGGGCCTCTCTCTTCATCTTTGCGGATTTCAGGATGGCCTGACCTACCTTGGCACGGCAACGTGGGAAGCGACCGGTGCCAGCTATGTGCAGGACCATGCAAGGATGGTCATTCAGCTTGCCTCAGTTTCGTTTGACGGCTTTTTTCAGGAGATGGAGCATCTCACCTGCTTCGTGCCGGGGTGGATAGCTCTGGGAGCGCAGCACTGGCAAGATGATCTCCGGTGGGGCGCTTCATTTAGGCACCGGGCTCGGCCTGCATCGTTTGGTCGAGGCAGCGCCGGATGCAACTGGCCGACAGCATTGCTCCCTGGCTGCTGAAGAGAGAAAGAGAGATAGAAGAAAGAGAGAGAGAGAGAGAGAGAGCGTGCGCGTGCGCGCGCGAGGGGGAGCGGGGACCCGCTTTCCTCTAGCTGTGCTGAAGAAGATACAGAGATAAAGAGAAAGATACAGAGAAAGATGGAGCGGAACTGCGTTGCAGTTCTGGATTCTTCAGGCATACACCTGCTGGCAGATGTACGAGAAGCAGCCAACAGGCATTTGATGACATTCTGAGCCTGGAGAGTTGGCCAAAGCTCAGCGAGGCATCGGTCCGGAGAGGGTCAAAGGCGAGGCCATGGACCTCTCCAAGACCAACACGAAAGAGTGCCNNCCCCCCCCCCCCCCCCCCCGCCCCGTCCTTTTTGGAAAGGACTGGGGCCATTTGTCTGGGACGATGGGATATGGGAATTCCCCCGGCCGGAGGTACATCCTCAGGCCGGAGGCGGTCGAAGGCCGGAATCCAGGAACCTATGCGAGGCGGCGAGGTGCTCGATGTTGCGACATGAGGTTGGTGGTACATGTGGGAGCTGACTCAGGAGAGGTCTAGAAGTGTCAGTAGCCTTCGGCACAAAACTGAATGCCGCGGAGTGCCACAGAGGACGCCAAGTACCGCGACTGGGGTTGGAAGACGCTCCTTGCCTTCGAGCCGCCTGGCAGCAACAGCCTTGGAGAAGGGAGCTGAAAGAAAAAGTAAGTTTTTTTTTGTGTGTGTTTCGGCCCGCTTTGATAGTGCTCGCCATGGCCTCGCTTCCGCTCCCAGAACTTTGGCGGCACCGCACGCCTTCATCCCTGGTCAGCGGCGTGGCTTTGCTGGGAGATGAAGGCGGCGGTGTGCGCACGCTGGCACAGTTGCTGGCCCCAGGGGCCACGCCCGTCGAGGGCTTGACTGCGATCCTTTTTCCCTCGGGCCTGCCCGCTCGGCCACTGGTCTTCTCCACTGTGATGACCGACAGCTTCACACACCGGACCTTCGTTGGAGTGCAGATCTCATACCAGTCTGGCATGAGTGCGGAGCCAAGCGCAGGGACACACTGAAGGCTAAACCAGCCGTAGATAGCTGCAGCGAGCTTCGTTTGAGTAGACGACTTGAGAGGCGGGCTTGCTCGCAGCCTTTCGCAAGTCGTGCTTGGGGTGAATCTTGCGTTCGACTCAGGCAGACAGACAGAGCCCCTGGCAACCTGCGCCTGGTCGCATTTGCCGGAAGTCGCGAGTCCGAACTTCCTGAAGCTGATGCTGAAGATCCACAGCTGCCTCGAGGATTCCTGCGAGAGCCATGCGGTCCTGGCGCAGACCTTTGCCCGGATCTGGGGTTGGCTTGTCCATGAGGTCCCAGCGCCACCACCGGGCACGGCCCTCTTTCTGCACGGCATCGGCGTATCCGATGCATCCCCCATCTGTGTGGCGGAAAGACCCGCCTGCGGGCTTCCTGCTGTTTACGTTCCGAGCTCCCTCCAGCAACTGCTTACACGATTGAGCATTTCGGCGCTGCTGCTGGTAATCCGACTGCTGCTCTTGGAGCAGAAGGTCTTGTTTGTCTCGTCATCTGTTGCGTTTCTGACCACTGCATGTGAAGCGTTCTCATCCATCCTGATGTTTCCCCTGGCTTGGGTGCACTGCTACAACCCGCTGCTACCATCGATGGATTACTTGGCAACGCCTCCTCCATTCCTTTTCGGTTGCCTACGCGACATCTTCCTGAAAGACAGCTTTGCAGACTCCCACGACCTGCTCTCGAGTGAAATTCTGGCGGAACAAGACCGGGACTTTTCCATCTTTGATCTGGACACGGGAGACACGCACCCGACGGACGCGACGCAAGACGTCTCTTTACCGGAGCTGCCGGAGGCGGCGCAAAGCCGGCTGAGATTCAGCCTGACAGAGCTGCGCTCGAGGTTCGAGGCCTTCCAAGATCTTTGGCCCGAGAGAAGTTTCAAGGACTCTGATGGCTTCGACTTCGACGCATCGGTGCAAAGGATCTTCTTGACTTTCACCTCGGATTTGTTGGGCGATGTGCCTGGCTCGCTGGGTCCCTCCTGCGAGGTTGCGACGGCAGCCTCGGTGCTCGAGTCGTTCCAAGAGGGCCAGTTCCTCTCCAATGCTCCCAGGCCATCAATGGAGCCGTCGTCAACGCGTCCTCTTGCAAAGTTTGTTTTGGGAGCCTGGAAGCGAAGTGGAACCATAGTTGGGACCGAAGCTTTGCACCAGCTAAGGTCTCCGCCAAGGACAAGCCCTTTTTCCAGTCCTTCGTGCAAACCAACGCCTTTCTGGCGTACCTGCAGACGCTGCACCTTTTCGGTCCGTCAAAGTCCCCCTTTGCGGAGGCCATGCAGCAGGCACAGGCACAGACGGCACCGGCCATGAGAAGCACGCGGTACATCTTGCCGAAGCCCCACTTTGCTCCGGTGTCGTCGAGCTCGCAGGAAGACCGCTGCCTCGAACCTGAAAGTCGCTGAACCACCGAACCCCCGCTCCAAACCACGACCCTCTACGCAAGGGACCCACTTAGCGAAAACCACTTGAGTTTCAACGTTGAACTGGAAACTTGTTCGGGCGTTTTGAGTTGCCCAGTTGTTGAGCAGAATTGCTCCCAAGGCTGAGGCGTGAAGCGTTTATTTCTTCTCGGTTGGACATGAGAAGCTTCCTAAACCAACGGTGCCGTTTTTTGCAGGAGCCATTGGACGGGATTGTGCGGGCGGCGATCGTACTCCAGCAGCACAGCCCCCCTTTGCAATTGCACCTCTCCTTCGCATCCTTGGAAGCGACAGAGCCTGCGCGGGCAACAGCCAGCCTGGACAACGGGGAAGTGTTGGCAGAATGGGAGCGCGGCGACTGTGATGGCCAGGCGCTGCAGGCGGAGCCCATCGCAATCTCGGAGCCCGTGGCGGAGCCGATGGATTTCGTTGGCTGCTGGGAAAGCCTGGTGTCGGCTTTTCGCGAGGAGGCCTCGTTGCGAAGGAGTGACCTGGCAGCTAGTGCGGCTGGCCTACAATGCCCTCAGTGGACACGGCAACTCTGTCTGGGATTTTATGAGGCATTGGCAAGCGACGAGGGCAAATTTCACACAGGCATGGCCGACTTTTGGACGTCGGCGGTCTTGTTGTACGCAGTCTTGTCGCGCAGGTTGTCGGCTCCGGATGAGTTTCTGTTGCAGACACACTTGGCAATCGTCGACAGGCCAGCTGCCTTGCCGACGCACCGGATGCTGGCACTGATGGGGAGCTTAGAACCCCACCGCCTCAGCGAAGTGCTGCAGTTGAACCGGCGCGATCAGCTCTCTGAATCGACGGTCACGGACTCGATGTGCTATGCGCGCCGGCTGCTCGCAATCGCCAACCCATCGGCCCTTGCCCTGGCAGAGGTCGATGACCCGGCTTTGGCTTTCGTTTGCCCCGGTTCCGACGAAGAGGGGGACCCTGTCTCTCCTCGGCACACCCTGGCCAACCCGATGGTGACGTACGAGCAGATGAGGGAGCTCTGTCAGGAGCCTTGTGAGCCCTGCGTGGAGCTGTTGCCTTTTCAGGGGCCGAGCCAGACGTCGGTGCTGAACCACCGGCGCTTCTGCAGTTGGACCGACCGAGACCCAGAGTTGCTTTCCCAGGACCTCCTCATCGGAGCCTTCCGAGCCGCCGCCGCCGCAAGCCCTGTGAGCCCCGCGGCCAACACCGCCGCCGGAGCGAGCACCGTGAGCACGGGGAGTAGGGAAGGCAAGGGCCACGGGTTTCGGCGGAAGCTGGAGCGGCTTCACGAGCCCTTGGCGGAGCTGCAGTGCGTGACGCTGCAGGGCAAACGGCTGGAGGCGTGCCTCAGCTTTTGGTTGAACTGCCTCAATGCGGCCACGCTGATCGCCTCAACTTCGCCCTCGAAATATGTTGGGATTTCTGAGATCCCACAGACAATGGGGGCATGGGAGGAGCTGCTGAACACGGCACAACTAGAGGTTCAGGGACATGTTAGGAGCCTCGCAGAAATTGAAGACGGCCTGGTGCGTTCTGATCACCTCTCCCCAAGCTCTCCAAGTTCTCCGTCCTCACCTTTGGGCGAGTCGCCGCCACGACACGAGCGGATCTTGAAGCGCGCGGTGCCTCAGGCGATCTTCGGCATCTACAGGCCCACAAGTAGCCACCCTGCGCTGCGGCTCTTCCAGGCCAATGCCGTCCTGGCCCAGCTGGATCTGAATGCGGTGCATCTGCTGATACGGGCCTCGGTGGACGGCTGGAGGCGGAAAGTGCTAGTTCCTGGCTTCCTCGAAAACTTGGAATTGGAGGCAGAGGGTTTGCTTGAACTCATGGTGTCGCTTCTGCAAAAGGCACCTGACCGAGTGGCTGAGCTGGAACTTGCCACGGGCCTTGAGCCGCAGGCCGACCAGCAGCTCCTGCCAAAGACAAAGGAGCTCCTCAAGCAGTTGGAAGCATTGCGACGTGAGAAAGCCGGTACTCCCTTTGCTGGAGTTCGCGTCGAGTTCTCGGACGCCGATTGGGCCTTCAAGCCCCCTGAAACCGTGTGCCACCTGCTGGCCGATGCGCGAAGGCTTCCAAAAGTCCATCTTGCTTGGTTCGTGTAATTGAGCTTGTCATGGGGAGTTGGGTTATAGCTCGCGGCCGCATGCAAGGTTTCTCGTGTTGCCGGTAGGGATCATCTCCTGGGGGTCTGTGCAATTTCCGCACAGCTTAGATCGGGATTCTTGAGGGCTCGCACGCTAAATTGAAAACTACGCTGACATGCAAGGAAGTGGCTCTGGGTCCCGCATGGGTCGGGGCCTTGGCAGTAGGGCGGGGCATCTTCGATTTGAGTTTCGGTTTTTGGCGGTCGTTATGTGAATGGAAAGAGGAGACACTTGTATCAAAGGGGAGTTCTATCATCTCTTCCGGAGTCTTGCATGCTTCGACCACAACCAGGAAGGCCTTGTGAAGGGTGTCCTTGTGAAGGGGGATGTTTCGAAGACATTGGCTGGTAGCGCACTGGATTCAGGTATGCTTCCTTGAAGGATGTGCGACAGACTTCCAAGAGCTACTTGGACAGGTCGGGCAAGCCTTCACCGCAGGTATGCAAGAGCGCTTGCGCGTTGGCTTCGCCATGGCAGGATGGAGAGCTTCTTCATCGCAGAGACTTTGAAATACCTTCTATTGCTCCAGGCCAGGCGCCACACGAAACGGATTTCAAGGATGTCATAAAGACATGCAGGCCGATCACGACGTGAAGCTGGACCGCTACGTATTCAACACAGAGGAGAGACCACAAGACAAACGTTTGTTGGTATTTCGGCCGCCCGACGAAGCACAGGCACACCCTCTGTCAATCTTGGACTTTGCACCCAAGCCATGACAGAGCCCAGGGCCAAGGCTTGTCCAGGGAAGCATTTTGCGTTAAGAGACTTACCATGTGTCCCGAGGCATGTGGGCCGGGAAGATCCTGGCCCTCTTTCACCCCTTCCCTCCGACCTCACCTCCTTCCGAGCGCAGAGCCATGGACAAAAGCCCAGCGGAGATATTCGGCACTATGGTTTCCCTAGTCGCCCTAATCGCATCAAGCCCTGAGAAGATGATTATAGCCGAAATATGCTGGCATTTCGTCCTGCTCAAGTACAAGCGGCAGCTGTGAGCACGCCAAAGTCACAGAACTTCAGGCGGCGACAGCCCACGCACCCGAACACTCGAACACCTCACTCCACACCATATCACACCCTACAGATCCCTACAGCGACCCCGCAGCAACCCCCAACAAGCACCCCAAAAGGCTCAACAAAGTCGCGCCTGGGTGGTTTTGCAAGTCCTTAGCCCATGCCTCGACCTCGACCGGCCAAGCCGATTTTGCCGCTTGGCAGCCCGGGGGGGAGCAGTTCTTTTGTCAAAGGGCCCTTTGAAACTTACAAGAAATGCATCTGTTTAGGGGTTGCTTGTCTGAGGCCAGGCTGACTGGATGCATCGTGGCCTCCAGCCCCCGCAGGCCATTCTCCAAGTTTCCGGCTGCGTGACATGGGATGCTTCCGAATTCACCTACTTCTCCGGCTTTCCCCAAGCAAGAAGTTGGTAGTTAAGTCCCCTGCTGTGAATGAAGGCTCCTGGCCGCGTGGGGAAGCCAAGTGACCGGACGCAGGCTGCTGGCGTTAGATGGCTTGTGGGGTTATGACATGACCTTTGGTGATCTTTGGTGGGACCTGCTGTCTTGAGGCTCCCACGAATCGGCCTCGTCGGGGCCAAAGCTGTTTTGTCAATAGACCCAGGAATTCGCAAAGCTGTTGTTGCGAGGCCGGCCCCTACCACAAGTGCCCGTCAAGCGGGGCTTCCTTTTTGCTGCAGCTGCAAGAGCTTTGAGACCTGCGGACCTGCACTTGAGGCGGGAGAGCCCTCCCTCCGCCCAGAACGGAAAGCGCGGCCGGCTGCGCGTCTTCTCCGAGGCAGAGGAGGCCATGGCAAACGGAGCCGACGCACAGACAGTGCACAGTCTGTGCACTGTCTGCGCTGGCGGCCTGTGTCGTACTGGTAGCAGGATGAGCTCGGTATCGGGACCCTGCTCGGCGACTATGAGGAGCAAGGCCAAGCGCACAACAGGTCGGCGCTCACGCGAAAAAGCACGCCGCCCGTGCTGTCTTGAGGCGTGAACCATGGTCGTCCGACATACCAAAAGGCGTGTGCATCGGTTGGAAGAAAAGATGCCAATAGAGCAGTAGAGTCTCTGTAGAGCTGTGTCTTGCAGAGGTGGTGGACGCACCTAGCCAAGACGAGGCATGGAGCTGCCTGAGTCACTAAAGTCAGCTTCTAGTGTGCGACCGGTTCATGATTGAGCACATTGCCGCACCCTGCTACAGCATCAACGGCACTTACGGCACTTATTCACCAGCTGTCATGGAGCACGTGGAGATGCAAGGCTGAGCTTTGTCGGCATGTCGCAAGGTCAGCGTTTACGTCTACTACTGGGACACTCGTGTGCCTCACTTACCATTTCCCGAGAGGGTCAGGGAAGGATGCCTGCAGACTCTCAGGATGGTGTCGACTTTTCTGGCTGGTGGTTCGGAGACAAGGTCCGAGGCTCAGTGCCAGCCGTCAAAATCCTACGAGCCTCCATCAAGCCCGCAGCACTTTAGAAACCCCTACGACTTGATTTGGCCGCAACCGTCCCCCTACAAACCCGGAATCTCCTCGAGCTGTGAAGCCGAAGGTCGGCGGATCCCAGGTCTGGTCCCGTGCCACGGACAACGGCAAGGCTGGCTCTCGGATCTTCTAAAGGAGACAGGTTCCCCTGCCTCCCTGCCCTTGGAGGCTCCACCAGAGCGGGGCTGGAAGGTGCCCTGGGATGGAGACGCCCCGGATGGGTTGCTTTGTGTCCGGGTCCATGGAAGTTGTCACTCATCTGCTCCGTCTCATGGCTGCTCGCAAAGGTTGAGGTTCTCAATGCCGGCATGGCGCAGCCGGTTTCAACAAGCAGCCCTACGGTGCCACCCAAGGCAGTGAAGGCCAAGGTCCAGGAACCGGATGAGACAGACAAGGATTTGCTGAAAGAGCGCATGGCTGAGCCGACATGCAGCAGTACCGTATTCAGGGAATCCCACGCCTGTCACCGAGGCGTATCCGCTTAGCAACGGATCGAGTTACCTCAGCAGAAGCGGAAACACAGCAGGTGCGGTCGCCGTGGCAGGGAGTTTTGGATGATGCCTTGAGTGTGCTGCATGGCGCATCAGGCGATCAGAGCTGCGAAGGATATGCTGGCTGCCGAGGATTGCACGGTTGCGCAATTGCCATTGCACCATCCCTGCTCGGACAAATCCGCATGCACGGTGGTCTTGTGACGAGGACGTTGATGAAGCGACGATCCTGGAAGCAGACTCGCAGCTCAAAGCGCAGATGGCAGGGACCCTGGTACACAGAAACACCATGCTGTCTATTCCAACAGCCTTTGAAGCTGAAGTGAAGAGGTTTATTCATCTTGAATCTGGTGATGCTTTCAGCACTGGCCAGGAGACAATCCAGGCAGAACACAAGGACATTGCCAAGGAGACGGCAGTACAGCATTGCAGTGTAGACGCACCAGGTCGGTCCTTGAGAACTCGAAACTGTCCAATGTCAAGTTTGTTGAAATTAGGCTGAAAAGACAGTGCAGTAGTAGAAAGAAAGACATGAGTATCGCGGTGAACAAACGGACAGTCGGAAGTGGCCTAGTCTTGACAAACGAATTTTGCTCTAAACCGTCAATGCCTGAGTTCCACTCCAATCAGCCAATCTTCAAGTCCTCCCACTACAAGCACAAACCCTGTCAACCGGCACGGCGGCAGGACCTTAGCCGTACAAACATTCCAGTACACCGGTTGGCCATGACAAGCTGCTTCAAAGGCCCTTGCAAGACCCTTTTCGCAAGTCAGCGCAAAGAAAAATGGAAAACACAGGGTTGCCAGATCACCAGAACAAAGATTACAAAACCCAGTGCGCCGCAAGAAGGCGTTCAAAAAGCATGCTGCAAAGCACGTTGTGACGCATATAAGGACCGCTCGGATGTTGAAAAGGCTCACCACAACGAAGCCGAAAGCCTGAAGCTACAAAGCCCCTATAAAACTTCTCTGTCAGGAGGTGCAGGATGCACGAGCAAACGGCTCAACCCAGGGCACTGTGGGGGAGTTTGCTCGGCTACTGTCGGGGCCTCGGGGGCACGAGACCTGTTTAAGTATCTGTCAATCTGATCTCGCAGCTTACCGTGCTACTCCATTCATGTAGATGTTGGCTTTCTGACTTCCGATATTCAGCGTGGACGTGCTCCTACAATGCCAAGACCTCCTACTCACCTCAGCTCCAGCTCCGAAAGTCTCCTAAAGCCATGAACCCTGAATCCTAAAAGCCACCTAAAGCCTTAGGAAGCTCCGCAGAAGCCGAGTGGCTTTTTCCCTTTCGCCGAGGCCCAGGCTCCGAGCGCTCCATGCGGGTTGCGAGAAGGAGCTCTCTACCGCCGGGGTCTCGATCATAAACCCAAAGCCCTAAACCCCTAAACCCTAAACCATGTGAGATTCTTGCGAGTGGCATTGCAGCGTTCAGGTTGTTTCAGGTTTAGGTTTTGCTAGGGGGCTTTAGGGGGTAAAGTTTTCAGGACTCTTTGGTGAATCAGGGCCGCCTTGTAGCTCGCTCGCAGCGGTCGTCGTGTTTTCGTGCGGCCCTGTGCCTTGGTGCCGTGCTGAGGTCAAGCTAGCTCTGGCCAAGGCTTCGCAGAAGACATGGCGTAAGAGTCCGAATGACCCGGTGTGTACCAGGTCAGAAAGGCTGCGGAACATGCCAAGCAGCAGGCCGGGACCCGAGGTGCCTCTGAAACTTCAAGCTTGATCTGAGTCATCGTGTCGTGCATTGAGTGCGAGTTGAAGGCCAGTGCCGCAGAGGCCGCCGCCGAGGCGGAGCAGAAGGATGTCAGCGGCTGAGCCGTTAAGCTAAAGGCAAAGAGCCAAGCCACGCAACGCAAGGCCTTTTAGTTCCTCCAGCATGACCTCGAACATGTTAGCTCGCTCTGCTACCGGCTTTCCAACTTCAGAGGTCCTCGCCTTTCAAGCAGCGCTGCCCCAGGCACCTCGTTTGAGTGCAGTCGCCGCCAATTTGATGATGGGAAGCGGTGATGTCCTAGCGGTCCCAGTGGCATTGCGAATCGCGCGGGATGTCGAAGAGGCTATGCAGGTCGTCACCGACGCCGAGGATGCTGTCGAGTGCCCGGGCTCAGCGTTCAAGGGGTCTTTGAAGATTTCGCGCCTACCTGCCTTCCTTTGGGCTGTTTAAGGACGGTCGCCATCCTTGCGGCGGCTGTGTCCATCGACGAAGATGTCCCAGATGCCGGCGAGACTCAGACGAAGGCGATCCAGGACATCGAGAAGCCGGGACCTTCTCTGTGCTTGTTAGCCCGGCAGCAATCGCACCATCGCACCCTCGCTTTCCAAGGGCTGCGACGAAGGCTTCCACAAACTTGATCGAGGTGCCGGCAGCAGAGGGTCAGCAGAGGGTCTGTCTTCGAGCTCGGCACACTGTGCATCACGCCTCGGGGAGGCCAAGAAGATCGTCCAAAGTCGCCTCGTGGAGATAAAGCGATATGCGCCCGAAGCAAAGAAGGCCTGAGAATTTGTCCGGAAAGCGCGGGCCAGCCATCTGAGTGGATCTGGGCCATGGGGACAGGTGGCAATGAAAGAGTACCAGGCTGGGGATGGGGGGCGACGCATGCGGGTCTTGCAAGAAGGTGAGGGGGGTACTAGTACTGTAGACTTGTAGAGCCACGGACGTGTCTGAAGGTGTCGGTGACGCAGAGGATCGGCTCATTCAGGATGTAGGAATTTCGCTTATCGGCGAGGCCGCAAGAGGGTAGTCCCATGTTGGAGGACCGCTATGACCTCCTCGGAGCTGTGGGCGAGGGAGCTTTTGGAACAGCCTACCTAGTGCAGCGAAAGGGGGAGGAGGAGCATCAGAGGGAGCTCCTGGTGGCGAAGATGACCTCCCTGTCTCACCTCCACAGAGATAAGCAGAAGCATGCCATCCGAGAGGCTGAGCTACTGAGGAGTTTATCACATCCCAACGTCATTGACTTTGTGGACTCCTTCGTCGAAGAGAGCCGTTCTGGAAGCGCATTCCTGTACATCATCATGGGCTTTGCGGATGCGGGCGACCTGGCGGGTAGAATTCAAGAAGCCTTGGACCTGGGCAAAGCCATCCCGGAGCACGAGGTTATGAGCGTCAGCTCGCAAGTGGTGCTTGCCTTGTCCTACCTGCACCGAAACCGGATTTTGCACCGTGATGTGAAGCCGACCAACATCTTTCTCACGAAGCGCGGCCTGGTGAAGCTGGGAGACCTTGGCCTGGCCAAGCGAGTCGATCTCTCCGCGTCGCTGGCGCAGACACCGGCAGGTACGCCGCTCTACACGTCCCCGGAGGTCTGCCACAAGCAGCGCTACGGCACCCAGAGCGATGTTTGGTCCCTGGGCGTGACAATCTACGAAGTCGCAGCACTCAGGGCACCTTTTGAAGCCGAGTCCCTGGTTTCGCTTGTGATGGAGATCTGTCATTCCCGGCCGGCTCCGATTCCGTCCCAATATTCCGAAGATCTTAGCCACCTGACCATGAGCCTGTTGGAGAAGGATCCGAACGTGAGGCCTTCCCTGTCCAACATCCTCTGCATGCCATTCATGCGATCCTGCCTGAAGCTACTACTGCGCGACCAGCAGCAAGCAGCTTGGGACTGGGATAGCCTTTTGTTGGCCCGGACCGTCTGCGAAGCTCTGTTACAGGGGGTGGCAGGCCGGGCGACGGGTCAAGGCAACATGAAACGCCGGGACAGGGCCACCCTGCTCCCTGCGGCCCTGAAGCCACAATCTCTTGTGTAGGACTCTATAGTTGGATGTAAATGTCAATGAAGCATGGGACGGAGCTAAAGTCTCGTTGTCCTTGATCTGGTGGCAAAGCGCCACCGACGCCATGTTTCGTGGAAACCTTTGGTCCGTGCTCCCTTGGAGTTCTGTCGAAGACCATCCAAAAAGCCGGCCTCCTTTCTGGGGATCGCTTGCTTCAAGCGCTTGTGCAAAGTGGGTCCTCGAGTCATTCAAGGGTAGTGCTGACCAGGATCTCGACCGGAAAATCCTCGAGGCTTCCAAAAGGCTGTCGCCCCTGAAGAAGTTCCGACAGGAGAGGGGGCGCGGGGGGGAGCGGGGGGAGAGAGAGCTGATCGAGCGGGGTGCGTTTTGCTTACGTTCCGAGGAGTTCGAGCAGAAGGCAAATGCCAAAAAGGCCTTGGCTGAAATCACCAAGACGCTCAGCAGCCTGGCGCTAAGAACAGAGAGGAGTGCCCAAGGGAAAGGGAGAGGCCTCCCTTGCGTCTTAAGCCTTCATCTGACAGGTGCGGAGCTGGAGGTCGAGAAGGCGAGCAGCTTCCCTTGAAGCTGAGCTGCTGGCATGGCCTCGCCGATCTCGCCTTTGAAGGCGCACATCATGACATCTTCAGCAGACTCCACTGGATCGAAGATGGAGGAGGCTGGGACGGTATTCAGGCTGCAAGAGTGCAAGGGGACCTGAAAAGACTAGATTCTAACTAGATTCTAGATGCACAGGGCCTCGACCGCTTGGTGTGTTTGGGCTCCAGCGTTGCACCTGATGGTGAGTTCAGGGCGCGTGCGCTGAGATGGCTCGCGCATCCATCTTGGCGGTTCTAGTTGCGAGATGTCTAGCAGAGCAGCGGCCCATCTGCAGACTAGCAGATGCCTTCACAACGTCAGTGGATATGCACATAGCAGACTGGGACAGTCAGATCGACTTTGCCCTGAATGAATCACTCAACTGCTCCGATTTCCTGGAGTATGTCTACCTCTCAAGGGACCGGATACGGACCCAGCTGGACTACGTGCGTGGTAACTTTACAGCTGAGGATGAAGCCTTTCGGTTACAGGGGGCCATGGGTGGTTCCAGTGCGTGGGCAATGACCCACATGTCTGCGGCTGCCTCCTTGTTGTCTGCCTACGTGCACATCCACGGTATGCTCTCCGCGGCCCGCTTCGAGTGCCTCAACGAGCATCTGCAGCTCCTCTTCCTCATGAGTTTCCGGCGGTTGAAGACTTTGCTGCACAGCCAACTGCGTCACCTCTGGCTGGTCTTCCAGGGCACTGCAGAGCTCGTGCGCCAGGGTGCAGGGAAGTGGCTAGCAGAGGTCGTGGACCTGTTCGAGGCTGTGCTTAAGTGGCTTTCCTCCGCTCCCATGATTCCCATAAATTTCCAAGATGCGCAGGATGCACCAATTTGCTGGGTTGTTGCAACAATTCAGCGATGCGAGAGTTCAAGCCTTGTCATTTCTTTCCTGACTTGAGGGGCACGGCCGTGGCCATAGCTGAAAGAAGCATGTTCCATCATGTTAACTGTTAATATTGGTCTGCTATACTGCAGCAATCTGCAGCATGCGGCATGCAGCAGCACTCGGAAGAGACAGATCGTAAGATGTTCCCTCGCAAAATGCATTCGGGAGCCTGTCTAAGTAAGTTGCGAAAACCAGCATCAAATTCGTCATTCTGACTCCACGGTGTGTGTCACTGGGTAGGCATTAATTAACAGGCATGTCATAGCTTGCGTTTGGCCCCTGATTGCAGGCAGACCTTCGTACTTACGAGAGCGTGATGGTCAACTGGAAGAGCAAGGAAGAGATCGAAGCTAGCAGCAACGGAACAGCCGTACCTGTGAGACCGGGGCCACCGCTCCCGGCTTTCACCACAAGGGAAGCTGACGGCATCGCTCTCTCCACCATCGAGGTGCTCCGCCGTGATACCTTCGAGGACTGGGACGTTCCGAAGCCACTGCTCCGCGGCCTGTTGCGCTATGTGATCCCCAGGGACAGCCAGGTCGCCGATTTTTGTGCAGGAATCGGCACGGCTGCAAGCTTCCTTAACGACACAGGCCTAGTCCGGGCATATGCCTTCGATGCATGCAGCAACATCAAGCTGCTTAGCCGAAATGTCGTGGAACACCTGCGGCTGTACGGCGAAGAGGTCAGGCTTTGGACCAACTTCGATGTAACCATGTGCCTCTCGGCTGCGACCGACTATGCCGCAAGGCCGGAGGTTTGGGCTCAGGTTTGGACCAACCTCGAGGCCAACACACGCCGGACAGCCATCTTGACTTGTGGGGTCGGCGAAAAACGGCAAGAAGCCATGAGAGCCGCTGCCGCGCACGCCCCCAGCTTGTCCTACGACGAGCAGCTCAGCTCGCAAATCGACGAGCTTCATCCAGGCATCTGCATCTTCTGGCGCAAGCCAGGCCTATGAACCGCGTGAGAAACCGAAACAGAGCCGCTCTATTCCCTGCCTGTGGCCTCTGCAAGAGCTCTGCCTCCGAGTGTCGCTGTGACTGCACGTGGGGGGGGTCACATTTCCAGGAAGAGATCAGCTCTACCTCAAAGCTCCTGCAGCCGGCCGAGGCGCATTTGTGGCCTGAGCTAGGAATCTGTGTCAGTGGCTTTCCACCAGGCGGACCTCCACAAGTCGGTGCAGATGATCGAGCGGAGACTGAAGGCACGAGTAGTGTGATGTACGTACGAAGCATATTAAGAAAAACTTGCTTCTTGCTACGAACGATACTAGTCTTCGTCAGATTGCTTCATTATTATTATTATGCTGTCAAAGAATTGGCCCTGCAATGCACTGAGAAAGGTGGCTTTGGTGAAGTCTGGCTCTGCAAGGGTCCACGACCGTTTGTGAACCAGAACCCTGAAACCCAAGCCCGGAAATCCTGAACCCTGCATGCTCCAAGGCCCTGAATGCTTAAACCCCAAAGGCGCTTTCCGGCAACGACGGAGAAGCTGAGCAGCAGCGCAAGGAGTTGGAGGCGAGCCCACTAAGACTTGGGTCTGGACTAGACTCTGGAGCCTTTTCTTCAAGGGTTTTCGTCCCACCTGACTGACAAATCTTCAACCAGTGTCCTGAAGCAACCAATCCAGATGCAAGGTAGGCTTAGCGCCACGGTGCCACGGCAAAAGGTGTGCCTACCTCCGAAATCGAAACACGATGCTTGATGAGACCCTGTACAGCAAACTACACCTCAAACCTAGACCTGTCGCTGTGAGTCTTTTTCGATGGATGAAAATACATGCCGAGACAATCGTGACTGAAGTTGGATGACATGACCTGGTCGAGGTGGCCAGCGGCTCCATCGGGCCCACGCCACCAGCGCACCCACCAAATCTGCCTCATCATCACCAGCACCACCACACCAGCACCATCGCCACGCCACCGCCACCCCGAAACCGCCATGGCCGCCATGGCCATCGCCATCATCGCCATGCCATCATCCCATCATCGCCATCGCCATCACAGTCACCATCACCATCACCATCACCATCACCATCACCATCACCATCATCATCATCATCATCACCACCACTGACCATCGTCTTCGTCATCATCATCGTCGTCATCATCGTCATCATCGTCATCGTCATCACCGTCATCGTCAACGTCGTCGTCTTCATCCGTCACCGTCATCATCATCACCATCATCATCATCATCACCACCATCATCATCATCATTATCCTCGCCTTCGCCGTCACCGTCGTCGTCATCATCATCGTCAGCGGCAAAGTCATCGTCATCGTCGTCGTCATCATCACCATCACCACCATCATCTTCCTCACAAATCAGCAACTGAAGCAACCTTACATTGGACCCCCATCGTGGACTGGACTTGATTGTGCGTGGATGGTTGCGCTTTTGTGAATAAAGCTTGTGGTGTGGTACTGAGGGTGAGCCCGGCATTACTATTCTGAGCTTCAGGAGCTACAGCGGCGGAGTGTCGAGACCCGCAACAAAATGGCAGCTGTTCGCCGGAGCTCCCAGGAATGTGCGGAGTCACCCTCATGCCTCTGCAAGCTGCACAGAGCTGAGCTCTCAGGCACAGTGCTGAAACGACAAGAAGAATCGCTTCAAGTCGATGTCCTCCAGAACCAGGCCATCCCGCATGTTGCCAGTCTGCTCGTGAGGTTGAACCATGTTTGTCTTCGAACAACGGATGCTCAACATCAGGTGGCAGAAAAGGTGGAGCTAGCCGAGGAGGCTTCCGCAAGTTTGGGGGGAAAGCAAAAGAGTTGCTAATGTCGAGCAGTCCAAGGCTTTCCTGGCGACCTCAGAAGCAGAGATGTCCTGCCCTCGTCGCCGTGGCTCGCGTTGCTCACAGCGGGCATGTGGCATGTGTTGTCGAGGCCCTTCCTGAAGGGCCTCGAGGCCTGCCCCGAAAGGACCGTTGCTAGTCGTTGTGTTGTATCCGTGATCTTGCTTTGCAGGTCCTGCCTCGAGAAGAGGGAATCCAAGCTGTCGCCATGTGCGAGGCCGGGGGGAGTGTTGGACACAAGCCGTGGCCTCAACTCATGAATTCAGTATTGTGGAGACCCCATCAGGCTGCTGCCAAGAAGTGCGAAGTTGCACTGGAGCAAGCCAGGTGGGACCCACTACTTCAAGACTTTTTTGAACATACCTGAGGAAGCCGGCAAGCACTGGCAGGCTCTTGCACGAGAAGGTGGTTAACGAATCCAAGACCAAGTTCTCCAAGGAGGCCCACGACCGGCCCTTGAAGGTTTCCTGGATCTCAGGGGGGGGGAGCGGGGGGCTTTTGAAAGGTGAAGGATCGGCTGAAGGAGGAGCTTGCCAAGACCTGGCCTCGGGGAAGCCCAAAAAAAGAGAGGAGGGGCCCTTGGGGCCCTTGGGGGTATTTTTTGGGGGGAACCTGAGCCTCAGGTTTCGGCTCCGTGGAGAAGAGACGGCGAAGAAGCTCGCCAGCTTCAAGCCCCGGCCCTGGAGATGTCAGCAAAAATTCCAAAGAGCGGCTTCCTGGTCTTCTCTTTTGCTTTCGACTGCGCAGGAAAGAGACGCAGCAGCGGAAAGCCCAAGCAATGCTTCAAGAAGTCACGGAAAAAGTGGTGTTTCGGCTGCATTGCATTGAGAGGCGGCCTCTGTTATCCCAGACCCGTGACAAGGCTGAAGCCGAGAGCCAGTGCCAGACTTTCTCAGAGGCCGGCATCGTGTTCTCAAGTCTCCAGCGCCCAAGAATTGGGCGCTCACGCCCGTGAACCCGAAGGTAGTGAAGGTCTTGGGCACGGACAACCTGGGCCAGGCCTGTCGTCTCTGACGACATAGGCGAAGAGGGCGGTACCAAGTTTTCCCTACGGTGCTACGGTCCATCCACGGAGCAGTTTTGCCACCTGGGAGCCAAAACGTTTGGACGACTCTCCCCAAATTTCGCCTCAAGCGGAGTGTCTTCCCCAGGTCCCCAAACATCACTAGACTCTAGCGCATCTCGGCTCGTTGAGCCACATTCGGAGGTCACGGTCGATGTCTTGAAGTACGCCATTGATCAGTCGCGGGCGGCAGAGAAGGCAGTTACTGCAGCGAACCCACGCGAGAGGGGTGAAAATTAGAGTGTTCGTCTAGTCGAGTGCACAGCTGCCGCAACCATCTCACAGAGGTTGAAGCTGGACTCGAAGCTTATTTGGAGGGTGTCTGCCTGCAGGACTCTGTTCGGGCCTACAATGCGGCCCGCGAAGTCATCACTGCTAAGCAGAAGCAGGTCAAGGAGAACTCTCTGCTGTGTGAACCCCGGACTTCCCAGGCATGAGCAAGCCCCCACACACCCACTCACCAACCCACCCACCCCTACTCCAGAGGTCAGAGCTGTCAAAGCTCCAGAGCAAGCTGGCGGCCGCACATGGAGAAATGGTCAAGAGCAGGCAAGTTCCAGCTTGGCTTCGTGAGACTTATTTTGCGAGCCACTGTGAAGACGTTGTAGTTAACTGTACTTGTGGAACCAGTCCTGAATCCGAGGCAGCTTGCAAAAAGCGGAGATGCCGTCATCCGAAGCAAGAAGGCGCTACCAGTAACGACAGTGAGTTTTTTTTGTTTGGTCACGTCCCGTCTTGACAACCAACAACCACTCAGCTTGTGGAACTACGTGCATGTCAAGGTCATCGAGACAGAAGAAGCAAGGGTCAAATCCATCGATGAGCAGATTGCGGAGGCACGCTCAGACTGAGAGAAAGAAGAAATCCATGCGACTGCATCAACCAGATGGAGAAGCTGACTTCTCTGTTCGACGGTCCAGAAGTCAAAGCGGAGGCGTGATGAGCGCTGACTAATCATTCTCTGCGGGCTGAATCTACATGCATGCAAGTACCCACCGCTACTGCTGGACAGGATCTGAAGAATGTCGATGAAACCATCAAGAAAGCGCAAGCAGCCGGCCACCTCAGCGATTTGAGGGGCCGCTTGACAGTTCTTTGGAAAGCGAGGCCACCGCTGGAGGGGCAGCATCACTGGATGCTCAACTCAAAGGCCCTAATCCATGCAGTCGTTTGTCTTTGCATTTTTCAAGCTGCGTTCGTGAGGCGCCGCGGCGTCCCTGAAGATCCCGCTGAACCACTTAAAAGAGAGAGTCAAGGAGGCGGCTCAGAAAATTGAGAAGGCCGGCGGCCCGCTCTCTAAACCCTTGTTTTCTTGCGTGATTCCGTCCCGGCTTCCCAGGTGAAGCAGACCACGAAAGCCCAGAGAGAGAAGGCTCACGCCGAGGTCCGCACCTCCAGTGCCTCCGCCAAACTCCCGGGGCGTCGGCTCGGCTGAGGCCTACGTGAAGGAGGCGGAGCAGAAGGTGGAGGCTGTGGAGGCGTCCCTCCAGAAGATCGCGGAGGCGAGGGCGGCACATGCATTTTTTGTTCTGTGACGTTCTGTGCGGAAACCCGCGGAATTCTTGGCGCTTCCAGGCGGAGCTTCCTTTTCTGAAGGGCATCGAGGCTCACGGGGCTCACGGCTCGGCCGCGGTTGTGTGCCGAGTATGGCCGAGTGGTTTCTCTGCCAGGTACTGCCCCTAAAGGAAGCCTCCACGGCCATCGCGGACTGCGAGTCGGCTGCAAAACAGGTGCAGGAGGCTCCCGGAAGTTCTCACGAGTCACGAGTGTCTTCGCCTTAGCTTCAGTGGGGGCCCAAGGCTTTATCGCGGTGTTGGCTTCAAGGTTCATGGAAGGGGTGTACTCGCACACTCACCGGCTCTCGGTTTCGGGCTTCGCCCACTCGTCGCTTGGTTGACCGGTGCGTGCGGTAGAATACTGTAGAGCAGCTACTCAGCAGCTACTCTTTGGAACTTGTCCACGACACTCGACCACACCATCGGTTCGCTCCACGTCCTCAGTCTCGCTTATCTGCATCCCGCAACTTCCTGAGTCGCTCCTCTTTAGTCGCCTCGCTGGCTTGCCTCACTCCGTTCACAGCCCCACACTCTACACGCTACTCCCGCCTACACTCATTCACTCGCTGGCTCGTTGGCTGGTTCTCTGCCTCCTTTCCCTCCTCCCTCCCTCCCATTCCCTCCCTCGCTCCTTCACCGCACTCATTCGCAGCTCTTTCACGGATTTTGACGGTCCTACCCACTCGGGAGCCTCCACATAAAGAGAGCTCCTGCAGGCCATGGACAAGGCCAAGGCGGTCCTGACCGCACGCGTGGCAGATGTCCACAAGTTCGCAGAGGCTCCGAGAGCCGAGAAGCGGAGGGAAGCGCGCTTCGCCTCGCGCTTCCCTGGGAGGTGGCCTCGAAGCCGACGCTCGAGCGGCTGCAGAGCCTCGTGGAACGCAACAACGCCCCCGGCCTCAGAGAGCCGCCAATGGGGGGGGGGGGGGACGTTGCATCGCGTAGAAGAGAAGAAGCTCTCTTCCTGTTTCTGTGAGGCGGCAGGCGTGAAGCTGGGAGCCTTCCGCTTCACACTCGGATGGCTGTCCAAGCAGGGGGGAGCCCGCCGCCTCTGTTCCGGGTCTGTCTGAGGCAAGGACACAGAGAAGCGCAAACGGACCTCGAAGCTTCAGGAGGTGGAAGAGCTGTGGAGCTGTGGCTCTGAAACGAGGCCTCTGCGCTTGACAGCCGCAGGCCGATGAGATCCTGAAGACTGCGGAAGAGGAGGTGGACCAAGCACGGGAGGCCGGCAGAGCCGTTCTTTCTCATGTCGTACGGTGCTGCGTCCGGATATATCCGAATATCTTGAGGCAGCCACGCCTTTAGCTGCCGAGGACGACTCCCTGAGGTGAACTCTGGCCTAGCTTTCTGCCGTCTGTCTGCAGGACCTGAGCACAATGACTGCCGACACGGCGACGCAGATCTGCAAGACCCTCGCAGGTCTCGAGAAGGTGCGTGACCTTGCAGTCTGCCAGTGTTGTCCCCCTCCCACTTAAAGGATCATGGGACTTAGTAAGTAATAATTAGGGTAACTATACTTATAACCCCAATTAAGGGACTTATAACCTTACTTACTAAGTCCCATGATCCTCCAAGCAAAAAGTGCCTCCAGGCGGCCGGACAGCGAGTCCACCAGGTCATCAACTTCCTGGCAGAGCGTCGGAAGGAGGGTTCCTCCACAGATGCCGGAACCTTCAAAGCCCAAGAACCATATGGGGGTTTCCGAAAATAGGGGACCCTAATAAATAATAGGATCCCTATTATAAGGACCCCAAAATAAGGTACCCCCTAATTTTCGGAAACTCCCATATGAGAGGCATAAGATTTACACAGCAAACTTGAGTTGCAGGGCTTTGAAACTGTGACGGCTGGGGCTTGGGGCTGCTTGTACCAGCAGCAATGGCAACACAAGAGCTACCGAGTAATCGTGATAATTGAAGATGAAAGGGATACCAATGACGATCGTTGGGCTGACTTTCTGCCGTCCTTCTGTGTGACTCGGTTTATGTGCCAGGACCGGGACGCTGAAGGTGGCGTGCCAGAGGAGCTGGAGCAAATGCAGGCACCCCCCATGCAGCCTTCAATCTGGTTGATTGCAAGTCACGCAGCCAGGTGCGGCTTGGCAAAGTGAAGGTGCAACGCTCATGGCCACCTCTCACTCTTGATTCACCTGCAACTCCTACCAAGGCGAAGTTGGCAGAGTCCAAGAAGCACACCTCCATGCTGGAGTGGGATGTTAGTGGATCACTCTCGATGTGTTTTTTCTGGTTTTTGCGGCTTCGGTCTCGGTGATCGGAACATGTCGGAGATACGGGATCCTCGTTTTCAATGCTCGCCGCCAGGAGCAGCGCTTCGTCTCGAAGAAGCTGCTTGCCGAGGCAAGGAATACTTCACTGCTACCGCAAGTGGCAGGTCCTTACTCTGATGTGATAGGTAAGCCGTATGTCAGAAAACATCAGCACAGCTTCTGAAGGCTGCCGGTCTGGTGGATGAGGCCAGGGCTGGGAGACGGGCGGCTCCTGCTTGTGGTTCGGAGCTAGACTCGACTGGTAGACCCGCACATCTGTGCACGTGATTGTTTGCAAAATCTTGTCGAAGGTCGAGGCCGAAATCCAGAAAGTGGAGGTGTCTTGGCAGCATGTTCCAGACATTGTCGCCGCAGCGATGTTCGGAGGGGCTACGGGTTGAAAAAGACTGAGACGCCGACTTCCGAGGCAGCAGCTTCTCCGCTCCTGGACAGCTCCAGCCTGCTCGTGCGCTTGAACGTGCAGCGGCTGTCCACCGCTGTCCAGGAGAGGGAGACTAAGAAATCAGACCCAAGACCGTAGTTGCAGACTGAAGACTGGAAGGAACTGATCAGCAAAGGCCACACCAAGGAAGCACTCTTCGCCAAGGCCGCTAGACAGAATCCCTTCGCTTCCCCAGTCGATCTCTCGCGGCGGCGTGAAACTCTGTTTCCCAGGCGTGCGGGGAAGGTGGTACCAAGGTCAGCACAGAGCAGTTCAAGGCCTGGCAGCAACTCCGAAGTTCTCTCTGGAACGTTTTGGGCATTCAGGCCTTCATTGCCTGGCTGGCCGAGAATCAGACCTCCGAGGACGTCGTGTCCGCAACTCAGGGAGGTCCAAAGCACAGCTGCGTTCGGGGGAACCAGATTGCTTTCCGAGGTTCTTGGACTCCCAGCTGGAGGCTTGCAGCCCAGCGCACAAATGCGGCGTTGCGGCGTAGACATGACTAGGTTGAGTCGATCCGCAATATTAAATAGTCAGAAGCTGTAGAAAGGCCGGCGGAGGTTCATGTCTTCATGTCGAAGCCCTAAGTTGCAAACGTCACGGTGCTGCAATCCCAAGCATGTGCCTGTTTTGAATACTCTTGACGGCAAGGAGCAGGAATTATTTCTTACGAATGCTACACTTTAAATCGATGAAGATAGCTTAAATGCCAAATGCATGGCCATATAGCAGGCTTGCGATGTCGAAGTCCAAGGCATCGACCCTTCTTCCCTTGGACGGAAGCCCACCCAAAAACCAAGAGCCAGACGAAAGGAGCTGGCAAGCTATGTGAATCCGGGAGGTCGTCCTAGGATTGGAGATGCTCAGGCGATCTTCAAGAAGCTCGATGCGGACAGCAGCGGGGACTTGAGCGAGCAGGAGTTTCAGGAGACATGTCTGCTTCCGAATGATCACGGTTCGGTGGAGGCAGGTCCTGCAACTGCTAGAAACCAGTGGCAGGACATCTTCTCGGAGTTCTTTCTCTGTGTCCGCCTGCCTTTCCAGTGCTTTACTGAAGTTGCTTGTTTGTTTTGTAGCTGTCGACAGATGTGGCTTCGTTCAGGTACAGCCCATCTCCATGACAGATGGGATGTCCATCAGCAGCGGCAAGAATGTCTTGAAGCTGGATGTGGGCATGGTGGTCGAAGCGCTGGGAATGCCAGGGACTCAAGACTCAACATCCGGAGAGTCATGGCAGAGTGCCTTCGTCGAATCCACGACACATCCCAAGGCCGCAGTTCGACGAGACCCAGAAGCTCACCCGACTACACTGCCGGGTAGTGGAAGACACCTCCAAGGAGGGTTGGGTGACGATGAGAGGCAACCAAGGCCCTGGCACTCTGCACTTTTTTTACAGTGTTTCTGGGGCTCTGATGCTCTGGCTTATTCCTTGCGTGCAACAGGCAAGGTGTACCTCAGTCGCCAGTCGCCTCAAAACACGGCCCTGAAATCCTTTGCGAGGACTGCTTTGTCACTGTCAATGCGCCTGGCGCAGCCCGATCATTATCAGTAGCAGTAGCAGTTTCCACTCTGCAGGAACTGGAACACGGTAACAAAGCAAGTGGAGAAGGCCGGTCAAAACAGGCTTCATAGCACACCTGCCACTGAAGAATTGGGCAGAGCCCAAACGGATATCCCTCCCCTGTCCGGCTGTTGTACTTTGCTTCTCCGGACGTGCGCCCGCTGTCTCAGCTGCTTCGCTTTACTTTGTCTGACTCGCAGGTCTCAGCTCACATCACTGACAAACGGAAAGCCATGGGGACCTGTGCGCAAGGTCCGCTGATTGAGGCCCGTTATGCTGTGCCGCAGCAACAGAACCAAAGCTTCCATTGCTGAGCCTGTCCTGAGGCCAGGAGTGAGCTGGACCAGCTCAAAGCCAAGGTGCGCGCCTGCACCGACAACAGGCACACCCACTCATAGCTTTTCCTGCAAGGCCATCTCCTTCAACAGGCGGCTCAGTGACCTCAAAAGGAAAGTGGAGGCATCAAAGAAGGAGTACGAAAAGCGCGACGGCTGCACTTGGCAAGTGACGCTCTCCCAAGCCCAAGCCATCCGAGTTTCATCGCTTCCTGGGCAAAGGAAAGCCGAACAGGAGAAGAAGGCCCGCATGGACGCACAGGAGCAGAAGCTCTTGGCTGCGGTCACGAAGGCCGAGTGCAAGCCAGGGACCGCTGGAATGTTTTCGCGTGCGCAAAGCGCGGCAGCTCGACGTGTCAGGTGCTGGACGAGCAGGTCAAGGCCGTGGAGTCCGAGGCGACACAGATCACCGAGGCTCCAGGGCAGACGCGGCCTGTAGGAAGCTTCGGGAAGCGAGCCTCGGACCTGGCAGGCCATGGCTCCGCTGGTGAACATTCAATCGGAGGTGGAGGCCGATCGGGTAAAGTCACATGCAAGTCCAATCCCCCCCCCTGTACGCCTGCAAATCTTCATCACCAGCTCCAAGACTTGTCTCCGTTGCAGGAAACTCCTTGTCAAGAGCAGCCCGCAAGTTTATGTGCTTTGCAGCCGGGCTTGGATGCTGGTCTTTCGCGGTGGGTGGGGGGGCGACAGAAGGAAGACAAACAAAACGAAGCAAGGAAGCAAGGAGGGAAGGGAAGCCAGGCAAATGCGCCTGGGCTCTAATCTCCTTTGCCAGTACAAACAGGAAGGAAGAATGATGGGCAGGAGCCAAGGTCAGAGGTGACGAAAAAAGGGGCAAACGGACAACTGCAAGGAAGTCGGGGGGCAAGAGTAGCTACGCGAGATTTCGTGGCTTGTAATAGCTTCTTGGGTTGTCTGGTTTTCTGCCTTGCAGTTTGTTGGCTGTCAGCCTCATGGGTTGCTGGTCGCCATAACATAGTAGAATATGTCGCACCTGCAAATTGTAACTCCCCAATGGCTTGCCGAAGTCAATCCTCATCTGCTCGGTTTGTGTTGGCTCACCGGCTGCCCTCTGTCAGGTCCTGAAGGTGCCAACCTCGCTCCTGAAGGAAGGTGAGCAGATGAATGCGCAGCTCAAAGAAAAGCTTGCAGCTGTGAGGACCATCTGAGGTTGCTCTCTGCAGCCAGACCTTTGGCCGTGCTCCGTCAGGACCGCGATTGCGAAGCACGAAGGCCCCAAGGACGAAGGTGGGGCTCGCTATGCTAGCTATGTCGGCCGGTGGCGGCTGTGTCGAAGCCCTGGCGTTTGGCGAAGGCTCGGGGCAGATCCGCCAAGCGGTCAATTCGGCCAAGTGGAAGGCTGCGGAGCTAGGCCTTTGGTTTGTGGGAGCTGAAACCCAGCTGGTGAGGTGGACAACATGGAGAAGGAAGCTGCCAAAGTGCTGGAGGAGCCAGTTCTCAGCTGTTGACGAGACAGAGGGGCGCTGTTAAAAGCCCCAGGCCGCTCGGGCCACCGCATCTCGTGTGGCGGACGTGGCGCTTCGGGAAGCGCGGGCTTCCCTAAGGCCCGGTCACCGTGACATCATGGGCAATGTGGGGGTATCACCCATACAGCTTGCATGGGGCAGCCCACAAGGTGTGAGTGCGCCAAGAAGGACACCACCTTGGATGCAGCTTGGCGGCTTCAGGGAAAGCCGAGCTGTCAGAATGGACCATGAAGGTTTCCAGCTGCTTGTAGGCAATCTTCGACACGATGCGCGGAGAATCGCCTGATGGCACAGTCGCCAAAGAAGCATTCGAGAGGCAGTCTTGAAGCTCCACCCACGAACGCGGAAAAACATGGACAAGTTGCAGGTACTTGGGAAGCATGTCTGACCTCGGGCTCAGTGCCGAGCAGGCAGGGTTCAGACTCGTGGAGCGTTTCAGATTGAAGCAGAGAGGACGCAGTACCCTTCACGAGGTCTCCCTGGTCTACGACAGGATTCCTCAAAGCGAGGACTCACACAGCAAATGCAAAAGCAGATGTGGACATTTGTGTATTGCGCCCTTGCCGGTGGCACCAGTGTCAGGAAGGTGTCTCCAGATGGTCCTTCCTTCGCAGCTTTCAGCAGTTTTTCGCAGCAGCCTCAGCCCATCCCCTGTTGACAGCTGACTCTCGATGGTGACTGCGTGATGATGATGAAGATACACAGTAATACGATGATGATGGTGATGATGAAGAAGATGAGGAACAACGTGATGGTTATGATGAGGATGGTGACGATGAAGTGGATGATGATGATGACGATGATGATGATGAAGACGGGGAATAACATGCGGGTGATGATGATTAAAACTGTGATGATGGTGATGATGATGATGATGATGATGATGATGCTGATGGTGATTGTGATGCTGGCTGTGATGATCGTGGTGATGAAATGGTGATGATGATGATGATGGAAAATTCAGAAGTAGTAGCCAAGGCAATCTCTCATGGATGCTTTGACAATGCCTGGACGGCTGAGAGTTCCAGCATCCGCAGGTGTGCCAGAAGTCCATTGCACTGACGTATGACTTCGTCATTTCCAACCGCAAGCCGCTGCGAATGGTGGCCTGTGACGAGGCCTTGTTTTTCTCCTTTCCGCCCCGAAAGCTGACGGCGGCTTTGCGACGTGCAGGTTATGGAAGTCGTGGAGGGGCCGCAAACGGACCCGAAGCTAGGTGGGAGGTGAAACAGGAGTGCTGGTTATGCTTCGAAGCCTGTTGCAGAGGCATCACGCTTGCAGGCATCACCCGGGTGAAAGGCCGACTGCTCGAGCACAACGTGGTCGGTTGGCGCGGGGCTGAGCTGGGGCATTTTCTTGTTTGGCCGGGGCTTGTTGCCATTTGTTGCCTCTGCTCAGGGCCACAGTCTCTGGCAATCAGGGGTCCCGCTTCTTAAAGGCAAGAGCAGTGGGTTTCTATGGAGAGTCGCTGTGAGCTCTGAGCGGCAGGAGAAGGCAAAACCCTACATGCAATGCCTCGTAGAGCTGCCTCTTGAGCCCGACTTCTTGCGGGCTTCCCAAAATCAGAGCAAGGGAGGCATTCCGACTGTGCTGGACCTTTCGATTCCAAGGACGAGTGAAGCTCCCATTCGGTTGCTGAAGGCTGGCTACACCGCTGCTGCTTGCAGAGTGCATAAACTTGACACATACACGTGGATGCGCACATGGTAAGACGCGCTTACTTAGGTAGCAAGTCACTTGGTTACTTGGTTACGCCTTGGATCCTGGCAGGCCGAAGAGGTGCTGGAGGTAATAGAGGGGCCTCGCAAGGATCGGTTTTGGGGTTGAAGTTTGGTTCCGGCATCTGTTCTGGGTGGTGTGCAAAGGACAGCAACGAGCCGCTGCTTCGGGCTCGTTGCAAGGCATGTTCAGCCCGGGCCACAGCAACCAGCATTGACAGGTTCCTTGTCGTCTACTAAAGTAAAACCGAAGCGACAGGACCAGGCCGAGGGCTGGCTCACCCTAAAGGGTCCCGCCGGATTCCTGGCCGAGCAAGGCCGGCACAAGCGCGCGACCCAAGAGAACCGCCCGGGCTCGGGGGGGACCTCAATATCGAGCCCATCTCTGAGGCATTATGTCTGCAAGACTGCCATCGCGATGACCGACAACCAGAACATCAAGACCTGCAAGGCTGGCAAGGGCTTGTGCGCGGAGTTCTGTCCTCGGCACCTGACGGGGGAAGGTCTTGAGGAAGCTCGAGGTCGGTGAAATCGTCCGAGTCCTGGAAGGCCCAGAAGTGGACAAGGACCGCTCCAATGAATGTTCAGAGTATCCCCCGTCGCCTTGCCAGAGCTAGCCGTACAGATCACAGATCCATCTCAAAGCACGGCTGCCTTCGGTCAGTTCAATGTTGGACGAGTGTGCGGATGGCCTCCAGCAGGACTCTAGCGTTTCACGGATCAAGGCCGTCGCCACCAAGGCAAGTTCGGCAGCCGGCAGCCGCAAGCCATTCAACCCGATCTCTGGATGTTGAGGATTCCCTGGAGGGCTGGGTGACCGTGAAGGGAAATGCCGGGACAGTGTACGCGGAGGCGTGCTTTCAGCATGTAGCTGTCGAGCTTGGAGACTGCGAAACGGAAGGAAGCTCCCTCCTTGTACACGGTCCTGCAAGAGGCATTGGCCCCAGGTCATGGTGGCTTCGTTGACTTAACAGTTCTTGACGACTGCTGTCCAAATGGGCGTGCCTTTAAGCACTCTGAATCCAACTTAAGGTGCCGCTGCAGCGCTCCTTTAGCACTGAGGGCGCGCGGCTCAGCGAGAAGCCGCCGTTGGCCGCGCCCTCTCCGTCCCTGCTTTGGCCGCCGCAGCGCTCCGAGGCGCCGAGCAGATCCGATCCCTTGCAAAAGACGAGGCCATCGAGGCGCTTTGCGCGCGCGCAGTGCAGTGGTGCAGCAGTGCATTGAGGTTGTGTTACTGTTACTGTGTTCTCTTCAGGTCCTGGAGGGCCCCAAGGAGGAGGTGCTGGAGCCGGTCTTGCGCTTCAAGGTCTCAGAGGGATCTAAGCGTGAGAGAGTGAAGAGAGTGAGATTGAGAGAATCTGCAAACATCTGCAAGCAGGGCCGGGCCTTAGCCGACAGCGCGGTCGGATGGGTCAGCATGAGCAGCAAAAAGCAGGGCACTTGATTTCAAGTCCAAGCTGAGCTCAAGCTGCGATCAGTCTCGATCGTCTCAGGCTGAAAAGCTGGAGCCCACTTTATCGGTGTAAACAGAGCACGGTCCGCCAAGCAGCTCTGTCCTTGGCTCCTGCCTGCAAGTGAACCGATTGGATTGAAAGGTGCTGCAGTCCACGTTGGCCACGAAGAGCGCCGCGTCGATCCGTCGAGTGGACGAAGGTGAGATCTTGGAAGTCGTGGATGGGCCCAAGGAGGCACCGCAGACCGGCCGCAGCCAGCCCGAGCCCCGTGCAGCCGTTGTTACCCGGGCCAGGACCCTGAAGCTGGTCTTCTTAGAATTAGAGCAAGAGCTCGGAAAGACCAAGCAGTAGGCCTCGGGGAACCTGGAAGAAGGGCGAGAGGGGGCCGCGCCAAAGCATGATCTCGACTCGGCAGGATGGATAACGATGAAAGGCAATCAGGGAACTGTTTTCCTGGTGCAGTCGCAGCCTGAAGCGGGCTTCGAGAGACGCAGGCTGCATGACCCAGCCTTGCCTGATATAGAGGTCTGAAGATCCGCCTAAGTGCTCGCCCCAGCAAGTTCGCGCCAGTGCCGCCAGATTGCGGCCTTTGATTCAGTGCTTCGTCAGCTTTCATGCCAGGCGACAGTAGCAACGAGTGAATGCGTCTTGTTGCAAGCCGCAGCAGGGTGACAGAATGAAAGGAAGCCACTAGAAGCCAGAAGCTGCTAGAACAGCATCAGACCAAGCGACAGAAACACCCACCTTGCGCTTGTCCTTAGTGCTGCCTGTTCGCACCTCCCCTGATATCGACGAGCCGTGAGCTTGTCTCATCAGCTTAGAAAATGAAGCTGAAGCTCACCTGCACGAGTTTCACCAATGGACCAATGGACATGAGTTATTCAGGTGAAACTCTGGCACTGTGACGCTTCACGCTGTTTAAGCCACAGCCTCGCGTGTGGCCTGTTTATCGTAGGACGGCGCAGCTAGGACGCAAATGGAACAAAAGCTTTGAGGTTGCAACCGGTAGCTTTGCCTGCTCAGCCATGGCTACAGTAGAAATAGCAACCCAGAGACTGAGGGATGAAAGCGTTTCTGCGTGTCTTGCCCAAGCCGCTAGCCCACCGTGCCGAAAGCCCGAGTCTGACGAATCCGGCGAGAGAACCTCGAGACTCTCGACCTTGAGAGATGCAAGGGAGGCCTTTGGCAGGCTGGATGGGGTGGGGGCCGCTGCGACAGAGTCTTGGATCCGCTCTCGTCCTCACAGGCATGGCTGCGAGACATGTTGAGATTGCTGCGATTCGCAGCGCTGGTGCTCCCGGCCCTCGCGCTCGGCGACAGAGGATATGCTCGCGACATTGGCGTTTGCATGGTGGGCCAGCTCAGAGGCGGGCCCCTCCGCCCAAACCTTCAGAAGCACGTGCCGTGTGCGGCATGGACAGCAGCTCTGCACTTTTTGGAGGCATCTGCGATGCCAGCGACTTGCTGAGCTTCTTCCAGGCCTCGAAGCTGGGCACTTCTGGCGGCGGTGGAGACTTTTTCTTTCTGAGAGGTCTTCCTGAAGCCTTTCAAGACGGCTGATGTCATCCTGGCGGTTCCAGAAGAGGTGTGGGCATCCTTTTCAAAGACTTGAATCTCTCTGTCCTGCTTTTGCAGGAGTGCCCAAAGGCCCAGGAGCTCATCCACGTGGCCTCTCAGTTTGCTTTTTTTGGTGGAGCAGACGTCTACATGCAGGCAGAGACTCTAAGATTTCGGCTCACATCTGCCCGCTGCTCTTATGGAGGCTCTGTGCCTGCCTGAGGAGATGGAGGCAGCTCGTTTCAGTGCAGGGCAGGGCAGGGCAGGGCCCCTTTTGCCCTAAAGACCCTGGAAAGGCGCCGGAAGAACGGCTTTGGATGGAGAACTTCATCTTCAGTGAGGCAGGCCACCGGTACTTCGACTACGCGCGGCTGAGGAACACCCTTCTCCCCGCCAGGCCCAGGAATGGAAGGAAGGGCGTAACGAGATGTAACCGAGGCTAAGCTTCCTTCGCAGGCAGCTGGCCCAATGTGCCCATCACTTGGAGGAGAAAGCCCTTGAGGCTGATGGGCAGGAGCTCTCTGAACATGCTGTGTGTCGATATGAGATCAGAATCGTCCGAACCCCAGGACGGCTCGATGGGCTATCGCTGGATTGCTCGGAGCAGACCAGATGTCCAGTGGCACTCGATGATCTCGCGCGAAGACCTTGAAAGCCTGGCTCCACCCTTCGTGCTGGCGAACTGGGTGCCCATGCCAATCCAGGCCCGGGAAGCTTTCACCCCGATGTAGCAAGGAGCAAAGCTGAGTTACCATGACAGGGCGTTGTGGAGGATCAGTTCCTTCTGGGCTCCTGGTCGTCGATGTGCGAAATCTTCCGAAACTTCTTCCGCTTCTTGCTCAGTCCCCGCGAAAGTTGGAGCTACAGAGCCGCACCTCCCTGGTGCGTCGAGCATGCTACCCTCCGTGACTCGGATGCGCCAAGCCCGACATCAGTTGAATGAGTAGTAATTCGCGGGACTGACAGCGTGCGAAATGGAGTTAGTATCTATTGAGTTATGGTTGGGCCAAGTCATGACAATGAAGGGATGTTAAGTGTAAATTAGGCTTCTGCATTCGAGTGCTGGACCAGCTGTGCTTACCTGCCGTCCGAAATTGCAGGTGCAATCAAAACGCGAAAGCCACATCTGCAAGAGTTGCGACTTGCTGTCAGAAATCTCTAAGTTCATCAGAAATTCATCGCGAGAAGTTAACCACGACACTGGCACAAGAGTGGAACGAATCAATCTACCGACAGTCTTCGAACAGAGCAACAGCCAGCTGCAAGCTTGTTGGATTGCGTATTGTGGCCGGACTGGGGAATAAGGCCTGCTTGCCTGCCTGCCTGCTTGCCTGTCTGTCTCTACTAATCTACCTGTATAGCTATCTTTGCAACAGGGGTCTGTACATCCATCTGTCCAGCCGTACATTCATGTATCCACATGCACAGGCAGTATCATGCAGGTGCATCGTATCATGCTAATTCTGTAAAGTGCTCTGCGGAACTGCAGCAGAAAAACTTGCCTCCAGCTGAGGATCGCGCGAGACATGCGAGAATCTCTACACTGAGAACCTTGTGGAGTCATTCTTAAGATCGCGACCCGAAGCCATGCAGCTCCGGAAAATGCAAGGCATCTGTTTCGACAAGATAGCTCCATGTCGCCGGCCCCGGACCAACTATTGCGACATGACCCCACCGCGGCACGTTCATGGCTACGTCGAGAGCGATCCGGCTTTCTTTGAGCAGTTCAACATGGACTACTTCCTGACCGCCTCGGCGACGAATGCGGACTTCGATGGGCAGTTCGCGGTACGCCTGGCCCGGTTCTTCCGTGACGACGTCGACCGAAGCGCGCGACGGGCCGGGCAAAAGATCTTCCGACTCGAGGGCCAGCCTGCTCGGCCTGCTAGAGTCCTGGACATGGGCTGCGGTCGGGGCAGCTTCGTGGAGCTCTTCGAACGCTTCGGCCTGGTGGCCATCGGTATCGATGGGGACCTGATCGTGCGCCGCACGCTGCCCAAGAACAGCCTTGTCTGGGACCTCACAGAGCCTCTTGACCTGCCGGGCATCCGTGCGAGCGAGGCCGAGGGGTTCCGGTCTCAAATTCAGGAATGGGGAAGTGCTGAGGCTGAGGAGAAGGAAACCGAAGCGACCGAAGAAGGGACCATGGAAATGTTTCTCTCTCAAATCGAGGCCGCTGCAGATGATCAAACGAGCACCTGCAGCTTTGAGGCGCCTGATGAGCCCACCGGGGACGAAGATGCCAGTCTCATACTCAGCGTCGGCTTGAAGATGCAGGGAACCGGCGAGGGCCATTCTGTGGCACTTCTACGGCACATATGTTGCAGTGATGTGCGCTGCGTGGGCTATGGCATGGGGGTGAGCTACCCTCCTATCGGCACAGTGTGGCGGAAGGCATCCAGCGAGGGTGAGGATCCGTACAACGGGACGCGGCCTTCTTTCTTCTACGGGCTCCGCTATCTCCGACGCAAGACCTGGCCCACTGCACGAGCTCCGGGGGCAGCCAGGCAGGTCCGAGTACCACTGCCTGACTCGCTCCTGCAGAAGCTGGGGGTACTCACAGTGTCCTTCGGCTCAGCAGACTGGGTGCTGAGCCTTGGGGTCGGCCAGTTCATTCCGCGTTCAAAGGAGCTGACGTTTCTCATGAACTTGGTGAGGCATGCTGAGTTTGGCATCGTGATGCTCTGGGGTAGGGCTGGGCCAAATCCTCGTTCTGCCGAGGAAGTGCAACAGCTTTTCTCACCTCTGGGCTTCTTTCCCGATCAGGGAGCTGCCAGGGAGCTTCGTTTGTTTGCTGGCCTGGCCTATGGTGGCCCCAAAGCTGAGCTCCTTGTTTTGCGGCGCCTCGCTGGTACCTGGTCAGCATTGGATCCTTGGCAGCGCGAGGACGTCTACAACGCTGAGGGCAGTGGAGAGCCTGCAGTGCTCGTCGGGCATCATGCGTACCTCGTCCAGTATCGGGGGAAGCATGCAGTTCATTGCGCAGTGCACGAGACCTACGGACTCGTCAGACCTGGCTTGCTTTGGGTGAATGGTGGCTGTGGTGGCCTCTTTCGGGTCTGGCGGACGAACAATGTCCGGGAGCTGCCTGGTGCCTGGTGCATCAATGCCGATCATCGCTATAAGGAGTGCCTTATACCATCTTGGCTCACAGATGCCAAGGTCAACGTGACAGCAGAGATGCGTCTTCGTGGACGACAGAATGCTGAAGAGACGGCAGGGGATCCTGGTCCTGTGAACTCCAGCCCCGCAGAACTCGACTGGCAGATGCATGCGTCAGCCGACCAGTTTGTACCCCGGCTGACGGCTTGGCGAGGAGACCCCCGCCTGAACATGGTCTTCTACAAGTTTGCCAAGAAGCTGGCCTCCGCATGCCTCACCACAGAGCTGGAGACTTCGGAGCTTCTCTTGGAGTGGCAGTGGTTCTGGTCCTCTGACTGGCGGCCACTGCTGCGCCTCTCAGCACAGCTGCAGGGCCGGCAAGGGCGAGGTTGGCGAGGTCGAGGAGGCGTGGAGCCGGAGGTTCCGACGCGCTTTGCGCGCACCTTCCTCCTCTTCCGCTCTCTGGGCTTGCAGCAAAGACGGGAAGGGGGGAAGTCCATGCTACTTGACTTGAAGCTGAGAGCCCGTGCCCTGGGCCACTTCCGTCGTGCGGTTGCGACGGCCGAGAGTGCCCTGAAGCTCCAGCTGCCGCGCAGCGGCCCGCACAGCGCTAGCAGCGCTCAGATGAAGTCACCGAAGTCATCAGCGGGAAGAGGAGGGAGTTCTGTCGCGCCTTCGCGCTGGGCGGCCTCCGACTGCCTTCCACGCTGGCGCTTTCGGAGGGATCGAAAGAAGCTGAAGGGCCCGGTACCTCCAGAAGCCGTGCTGCGCCGCTTTGCTTTGGCACAGAAGGCTGCGGCGACCCTCCTTTTGCGGCTCGCTCCGGCGAGAGCTCTTCGTAGCCAGGTGCTTTCGGAGCTCCTCATCCTCGGCCACCGAGCTGCGATGGCCGTTGTAAAATGGGGCGGTGTCATTCCTTGCATGGGGCTGGGGCACCTTCAGAAGCGTCCTCCTGGCCCTACTACTGCATCTGCGTCTCACCGCCCTGTGGCGAAGCCACCTGGGTGCGAACGGCCCTGGGCGAAGGATTCGGTGGAGGCTTGGTATATCTACCGCTTGGTGGCCTGCGACCCCTCCTCGACGTGAGTTTATTGAAAATGCATGAAAGGTTGGACAATCGTGAGCAGCGAGCAGGGTCATCGGCTTGTAGAATGCATTCGATCAGCATCCTCTGCGACCCTGCGCTGCCGATTCAAGATTCGGCAAACTGAGCCTGTCACCGATTCGGTGAGGCTGAGGCAACCGGAGTTCTGTGGCTGTGCTGTGAGTTGTGAGGGAGTTTGGGGCAGGTCAAATGCCAGATGGGCTCCCGGCTACTCTCGGCCTCGTCGGGGTCGGTACTATAGGCATCGCATGGCCTCGCAGTCTCCCAGAGTCTCTGAAGCGAGAGCCTGAGCTTTGCAGGCTCTTCCTTGATTCGTGGCCTCTTGGCCCCGGGCGGCAGCTTGTCAACACCCCCAAGGCACCGCAAAGAAGCGGAGGTCTTGGGACAGGGCAGTTTCACGGTGCCGCGGCAGGGTGGTTCTCTCGCCCAGAGGTGCTGCAAAGGTGTGGGATTTCAATTTTCGTTGAGGTCTCGCACGGGCAAGGAAACACCTTCGCATACCCGCAAGGCGGCAGAGCTTGCGCGAGACTTCCCGAGCCATGTTGTCGTGGCGAAGACCAACCAGGAGGCCAAGAGATCGGGATTTTCTCGCTCGTGGGTTGTGGGATTGAGCTGCGACTGCTGAGATGGTGTCGAGCAGGTCGTCGATGTGGCAGACTGTGTCATCATCGCAGTGCTCTTCAAGCAGGTGGAAGAGGCAGACCCATCCCTCCTCGCTGACGTTATCATGTCGCCATGTGTGGAAGGTCATGAAGGGCCTCGCTTTCCGAGAAGGGTGCCTCGCCAGCTTTGCCTTGAAAGCCATTGGCCGTACTCCTCGAAATTCTTGGCTCCCCTTCGGTCGCTCTTGTGCAAAAGGCAAAAGGTCGTCACACTGGTCGCTGGACTCCTGCCAAAGCGTCTGCAGGAGCCTACTTCCTGCCTCTGCCTCTTTCGAAACGTTCTGAGAGTCTGCGGTCTTGGCGAGGAGCTCTCTTCCCCAGCATCAGACTGTGTCAGTGCGATCCCGCTTCCAGCAGTGGCCAGGCAAAGCGAGTGGAGGTTTCTTCGTGTCTGTGTGCGTGTGGGGTTGCTTGAGGGTGTCCCTGACTGCAGGCGCGCTGGTTCCACCTTGCTCACGCCACCGAGACCCTGGGCACAGGCCGTACCCCAACTTGTGCATAGGCTTGTGGCGCTGCAACACACAAAATCGGGAGGCAATGTTTGGGATCTGCGGGAAATGTGTTTCCGTGGAGAGCGAAGCAGAATTCAGAAGGCTTGGACTTGGACTCGAACCGGGAAGATCGGAGCATGCTGGCTGACCCTGCAGGCTCCTGTGCATCACAACGCTGATGGGGGACTTCTATAAGAGGCAGCTGACTGCACAGCGGTGGCTCTCTTCGAACGGCGTCGCAGAGGAGCACCACGTCATGCCACGTCTGAGTCGTCTTAGTCCGGGCTCTCCGGACATCGATCAGGCCGACGCTGCCACCTGGGTTGGAGCCACTTTCGCCACTTTCGCGGCGGACAGCAGCGCAGCAGAGGCGAGCAGCGAAAAACACAGCTTAGCTCAGCACGAGCACGGTTCACGGCTGTCCTGCCGGTCGGCAGGCTGACACTTTTTCGAAGGCCTGCATGGCATGCATGACTCAGCATGACCCTGACATGCACGCAGTGTGGGAACTTTACACATTTTCTCGAGTGCTTGCAACTCGCAGCTCGTGGAAGAGCAGACCCCCGGTGGACTCAACGAGATGGCCTGACGCCTGATGGTCTCTGTCTGCAGAGGTTCTGAAGCTCGAGCTGCAATCTCCCTAGGTTTGGAAAGCCCAAGAAGCCGATGAAAGCTACCAGTCCCTGGCGTATTCATTGGATGCGGCCTGGCCCCCAGAATTCAGACGGAATCGTCGGTCTAACCACATTTCACTGAAGCTTGAGTTCGATGTGTGATTGCGCATGGCACTTCTGTTTCCCCTGCTGCTTCACTGGCTTACATATTGTCGTTGAAATGACTGTGATCATCAGTTCTTCTGTTCTTGCAGGATGCCCATTGTCCCGCGAGCGGGAAAGGTATTGTATGCATTCAGTTTGCGTTGCCGGCATTCCTGCAGCTGTGATTTTGTGCAGGACCTTTGTGGAGTACCCCGGTACGCCTGCTACAAAATCAGAATCGAAGGACACTGTTATATTAGGAGAATGTGATAATGAGTCCCTACCCTAAGCACTGAAACCTCCAAAACTCTAAATTTAGACCGTCGAAACCCCAGGCCATCCAAGCCTCTTGCACCCCCTACTTCCTACTTCTGTTCAGGTCTTCCACCGGCTGGTGGCCGGCGCGGAGGATCCCTCCCTGGCACCCGCGGCCAAGCGGTTGAAACGCTGATGGGCGAATTGCTCTCATCGGGAGGAAAAAGGCGTAGTTGGCGTTTTTGAGGGTTTGCGAGCTACGAATTATCTATGTTTGGGAAGATGACTGTTCAACAGACGGGAGTTCTGGCGAAGTGGGCGTACATACGTACGTACACATATATGCATACGCGCACACACGCACACCATGAAGACGAGGTGATGCTGGAACTGATAACAGCAGCTTGCAGGGCTTTGTGCTTGGTCCAAAGGAGCCGAAGTTGTTCCCATTCATGCTGCTCGGACTGGGCAGCGTGCACGGGAATTTGTGAGTCCGAGTGCGGATGACAGGATGGATGCTAAAAGTTGCTGGGATGGCACGACGGCTATCGGAAACTATGGTCGAACGAGCCGGCGTTCTCTAGCCGACGCGAACCGATACATCGATTGGTGACGTTCTGTCAGAGCATGGACATTTGACAACAGGACGTCCGATTATTAGCTTCCTACGGGCTTTATCTTTCCGGAAGCAGCCAGACGAGCCGCGGAGTTGGTCACGTTGATGTGCACGAGAGATTGGCATGAAGAATGCAGCAGGGAGCGGGGGTTTCGTGCATAGAAGCGATTGGCGCATTGAAGCGAAGCGTTTCTGTTGCTGCGGGCCGGCTTTCGTCGTCAACTTCTCAGCCGCATGTACTCATACGGCTCACACGTGTTTGACGATCATCCGGTAGGTCGTTGGTCTACATGTCAGGCATGTTGTCTATCATGAAACCAGGGAAGGTTCGTGAGACCTCACTATCCGGCGCCTAGTGGCTTGCTGTGAGAAATGTTGACCTTCTGCAACCTTCGCAATCGGTGGTTGGTCGTTGGGATCAGCTCTGCTTGATGGGAGTGGCTGCTTGTTCTGCAATGGGCTGAGCCAACCTCCAAGGATTAAAATCACAGAAGGCTTAATCTTTGCTGACACTCGGCTTGATGACTCCGCTGACACTGAGACATGTAGATGAGGAGGCAGTTCCCCGTGTGATGCGCTTGCGAGAAGTTCTGCATTCATCGAGCATAACAGCAGGAGTCCGAGGATTTTCCTTCCTACAGGCTTAATCTTTTCTGAAGCATGTTGTGGTGACTTCGCGAAGTACTGAGACATGTAGATGAGGGACTTGGCGCCGCCAAATGAATAGGTGGATGGGTATGACAGAGCGGGGGTTCGTGCATAGAGCCGATGCGTGCACCGAAGCGGAGCATTTCTGTTGCTTGGGGCCGGCTTTCGTCGTCAGCTTCTCAGCCCCATGCGCTCATACGGCTCACACGTGTTTGACGATCATCCGGTAGTCGTTGGTCTACATGTCAGGCATGTTGTCTATCATGAAACCAGGGAAGGTTCGTGAGACCTCACTATCCGGCGCCTAGTGGCTTGCTGTGAGAAATGTTGACCTTCTGCAACCTTCGCAATCGGTGGTTGGTCGTTGGGATCAGCTCTGCTTGATGGGAGTGGCTGCTTGTTCTGCAATGGGCTGAGCCAACCTCCAAGGATTAAAATCACAGAAGGCTTAATCTTTGCTGACACTCGGCTTGATGACTCCGCTGACACTGAGACATGTAGATGAGGAGGCAGTTCCCCGCGTGATGCGCTTGCGAGAAGTTCTGCATTCATCGAGCATAACAGCAGGAGTCCGAGGATTTTCCTTCCTACAGGCTTAATCTTTTCTGAAGCATGTTGTGGTGACTTCGCGAAGTATTGAGACATGTAGATGAGGGACTTGGCGCCGCCAAATGAATAGGTGGATGGGTATGACAAAGCGGGGGGTTCGTGCATGGAGCCGATGCGTGCACCGACGCGGAGCATTTCTGTTGCTGGGGGCCGGCTTTCGTCGTCAGCTTCTCAGCCCCATGCACTCATACGGCTCACACGTGTTTGAC